TGTGGGTTAGAAAAGCAGGAAGATGGAGGGACTTAGAGGATGCTGCATGCATGGGAGGTATCCATGCACAGCTGGTCTGGAGATGATGGTGCATGGGATTTTCTGCAAAAGAGATGGTTCTGTGTTCCCAGGTGTGGGGCTGCAGGCTGTGATCCCTTAGGCCAGTAGAATGCCATGGTCCTGTAACACTAGTGCTTTGTTCCGCACTGGGTACTCAAGTAGCCAACAGCACAAAGATGCATGGAGGCTGGCAGGGGAAGAGCTGTAACTCAGTGTTAACAGAAGCACCCTGGCTCTGGAAATAGGATTTTGGGGTGCCTGAGCTGGGATTCCTTCTGTAGCTGGGCTCAGGCACAGTCTGTTTTGAAGTCAGCTTTGCAAGGCAGGAGTGAAGTTTCTGCTCTTTTCAAACTGTGAAGGGTCACCTTTCGCTCCTGGGGATGTTCTCAGGCTTCACAATTTTTTAATTGCAAAGGGAAAACAAGCATATCCAGGTACTGAGACCAAAGAAGAGGGACAGAAATCAGTTGCCAGTCTCCAAATACGTAAAATGGAAAAGGGGGGAGACGTTCCTATTTCTGCTTGCTGTTAAAGCACTTGTAGGGTGGCATGGTGTGAAGGCACCTGTTTTTCCACATAAAGCTGGATTTTCAGCTGCAGCAGTGGCTAAACAACACTGTCAGGGTGGGAAGCGTTGGAAGTGGGACTCTTCTGAGTTTTGGGGAACCCAGAAGGAAATTCAGCCTTAGCTTCATTATTGCTATATTACAGTTTCTTTTCCCCCCACATCTTTCCAAAGACAGATGGGTGAGGAGGTGTGTTTGTCTTAGAGGAGGAAAAACTATTTCTCAAAAAAACCCAAAGCCCCCCCAGCCCTGTTCTGCAAGGGCAGGGAGATGGCAGCAGGGAGAAAATAAAAGGGTGAATGGGTAGCCACAAACATTAGCATTTCAGAGAGAGCTGCTCGATGGAGATTGTTCACCACCAGGCAAGCTTTAATAGGAGTGATAAGGTTTGCTTTTGTTCTCGGGCTCTTACTTAATCAGCCTGTCTCATTGCGATTTTTCTATCGGCACACTTCATCACACAACTTTCATGTGTGAGTCCCAGCTGCAGCAAATCTTGTTAAAATGGCCTTGTTCAAACACGGGCGCTGGGTTTGTTCCCTAGAGCTGCAATATGGATGGATGGAGTGCAAGGCTGGAGGAATCAAAGGACTCCTAGTCCTGTGTATTTTATAATTCATTGCGTAGCTAAGTTGCAGAATATTTTCCCTCTAACAAGCTTGAAGCCTTCTTCCATATCTAAAGGAATATTATCCAAGGAGGCATTTGGGCAGGGGGTGTTTAGAGACTCTGCTTTCTGTGTACCATTTGTCAGTGACTGAACAGCTTCCCTGTGCCTTATTAGTATTGCACTCTTGCGTTTATTTTGTAGCAGAGTGCTCTGCAAATAAAATTTTAAAAGGCTGCTGCTCTTGCCACTGCCTCGGTGTGCTGCAAGTGGCAGAAAATAAAGATGAGCAAGTCCTGGGGGGGTTTTGATGGTAAGGTTAACAAACACCGAAACAAAGCGCAGCAGAGAGCCTTTTCCTAATTGAATCCCTGGTTAATTTGGTCCTTGGTTTAATTTGCCCCCTGCTCCAGACATTGGATGATTCTCACTGAAAATAGCCCAAAACATGCTTATTTATTTTTTGTTTTGATCCTTATCAGTGAATGTTCCTGGATAATTCAGTCCCCAAAGGCAAAAAGCTTGCTTTGGGAAGCTGGAGCCAGGGAATGTGAGCAGAGCCCCCTGTAATTAGATGATGACTCCAAAGGGTTATTTAGATCTTGCAGTTGGCATTAGTTGCACAGCGCAAGCTGGGACCTGCCCCGCTGTCGCCTGGATTAGCTGCTTGAATTGGCCCCCGGGAGACATTTGCTTCCAAACTTGCCCAATTTTTTTTCCACTTGCCACACATTTAATCGAGCTGTGATTTAAATCCACTGAAAGCAGCAGCAGTCGCCCAGGTGCCTGTATAATCTGGAGACTTGAGCTGCCTAAGTGCAATGCTGTCCCTAATTAAACCTGTCCATTGCTGGTAATGAAGATTAGTGCAAGGAGGAGAGACCTGATGGACTTTCCATCCAAAGCTGTTTGCAAGGTTGCGGGTTTTTTTGCCCCATCCTGTTAACAGAGCAAATGTGCTCTGGGAATTGGGAAAGGATGAGGAAGATGGAGCTCTGATTTTGCTTGGTGACAGCCTTTTTTTGTTTTGGGTTTTGGGGGGTGTTTTTTGGAGTTTTGGTGGTTTGGTTTTTTTTTTTCTTGAGCAGGACCAATTCCAACCCATCAGGCTAGATGCTATGGTGAGAGTAGTGGTCCTGGAAAGGAGCAGCCACTGGTGCCCACCAAGGGGCAACAGTGGTGGCAATTTGGAGTTCAAAATGCTGTAACCAAACCAGTCCTGTGTGGTGTGACCTGGGAGCTGGATCTGCAAAAATCATGTTACTGATGCACTTTGTTCTTGAATTTCACAGATTCATCCCTGGAAGTGCAGCCCAAATACATCAAAGGCGGCAAGCGCTATGGCCGGCGGTCCCTGCCGGAGTTCCAGGAGTCCGTGGAGGACTTTGCTGAGGTGACTGTCATCGAACCTCTGAGCGAGGAAGCATGTCCCCCACACATCGCCTCCAGTGGCTGTGAGGAGGTGAGTGGAAAGGGTCCTGGGTGCTGCAGGAGGTTGCCATCCCTGGACATCGCTGTTCCCCATGCTGTCCTGAGGTGGTTTGAGTGTCCTTAGGGCCTTCCTAGCAAAGGTGATGGTCTCCGTCTTTGGCTGTCCCCAGGGATCAGCCATGCCTGGCAGCATCTCCCTTGCTCCAGCCCCAGATTCCCATCTGCAGGCAGGCTGCTGTGGGAAGCTGAGGAGGATCTGTGCACTTGGTGACGTGCACTGGTGCTGCTGGCTTCTCTGCACTCCTGGCTGCAGTGCGGCCAGCAATCAAATGAGGGCTATAATGCTGCTTCTGTGGCTAACAAAGCGTGGGCTGGGAGCTAAGTGAGCAGGAGCATGTCCTCATCTATTAGCTCATCTGCAAAAACCTGGCCATGGCTCTGGTGCTCTTGGGTAGAGAGGATTGGGAAGAAGGGTGGTGAGTGACAGAGCTCTGCAGCAGACAGCTGCCTTGGGATGGTGCCCTAAATCCAGAGCCACCAGCTTCTTCTTTCAGTCTTCTACTTTTTATTTTCCTGGTAAAAAGCTTGTGTTCTTTTGCACCAAAGCAAATGACTGTCCTGGGAGCTGCATGGCTCTCACCAGTCCCCATGCCCCATATATGCTTGCTCCAAAATCCAGATTTTCTCCCCCCTCCCCATTCTTGTGATCAGAATTTGCATCTCTCTAGTGCTTTCAAGCCTAGAACCTTCTCTTGCTTGTTCAGAACAGAAGAGCAAAAGGTGAAGAGTGGTTGAGCTTGGTGGTGTGCATTAGCATACAGCCACAGCAGCACTTCCCTGACACTGGGCTCATTCCAGCCTGCTCCAGTTTGCCAAGTATTGTTGATTTAGTGCTGCATGTTCAGGAGTGCACAGTGGGAGTTTTCCACTGGGAAGGAGGAGACGGTGCTGCTTTCTTCCCTTGTCTGTCTTCTGGCTTCACTTGTGCTTTCCTAAAGATCTGGGGGCTCTGCAGCACAGCCACTGCACCCAACACTGCATGGGGAAGTAAGGGAGAAATTTCCTGTTTCCAGTGTTATTCCTGTGCAGCTGAGCTTAATTTTTTAAAATTTTTTTAATTTTTATTCTTATTTTTAAGAAAAAAGCTTTTCCACCAGAACCAGTTTTCTTACGCTGTTCTCAGTGCTGTTTGCTCTCCACCACAGGGATGCTCATCTGTCTCCTGGGGCTGGCCACATGGGTTGACCTGACCTTGAAATCAATGTTAATCTACCCACAAGCCCGAGGGAAGAGATGCTCTTGATGGGAGAGGCCACGCTAATCTTGCTCCTCTGTTTTAACTGTCAAGGAGGTGTAAAAGGCTAGTCTATTAACAAGGTCATTCAATTAACTCAACCAGTACATAACCACACTGTGCTCCCTGCTGGCTGCATCAGTCTCCTGGTAGGAACTCTTGCTGCACCTTCTAGGGTGGATGGGATGGTTAATTCTCTTGAAACTTAAGCAAACCACAGGCTAATTTTGTTTAAATCCCCACTTTCCAACTTTATCAGCATTACTGTCTTATCTCTAAAAGTTGATTCTCTTGCTATGCATAGAAATCAGTTGCTTGAAAGTATTGGGGGTCCTGCGGCTGAAATGCTGGGTGGTGTTGGAGACTCCTGGTGCATTGACTTCCTGGGGCTTGCCACAACTAACAGCCTTTGCCCAGTTTTCTTCTGTTGCACCATAAACGTGTTGTTGCCTGAACTCTGCAAGGCTGCCTCTAGCCCAGGGTGTTTTGCTGGCCTGAGAACTGGGGCAGTGTGGCTTAATTGGTGCTTTCTTTCAACCAGTGCCAATTAAAAGGGCTCAGACTCTGTCTGAGAGGCTTCTTTCCCCTACTCATCTCCCTGAACAGGAGAGAAGAGGCTGGAAGGCTGGTCTGTGTGTGTGATTGGATGCCTAGAGAGGCTCCATGACCTCCATCCCTGTGGTTTTCTAAGGACTAGACAAAGTCATGAGCACCTGGGTGTGAATTCAGCATTGACCCTGCCATGAGCAGAGGGTGGTGTAGGGATCCCGAGCTTCCCTCTGACCCGCATGAATTTTTGTCCCCATGGATGCTACTAGGAATATGGGTGATGAGAAACAAGTGACTTTGGCAGTGTTATGAATGTGGTGCTAATGGAGATGCAGCTATGAAAGTCCGTAGAAATGCAGTGTGAAAGCTTGTGTGGTTAAGACTGTGCATCACCAGCCCTGGTTACCACTTGAGCTTGTTTGTTCCAAGCTCTTGATACAAATGATGGGTTTTGGTGGGCTTGGGGAGCCCTGTGACTTTGCTTTCATTTCCTTTTTGCCTTGTGCTAGCCTGATGATGATCTGCTCAGTGGTGGTGGTGCAGGGTTGGGACGGGGAGCAGGTTTGGTGGCCATGGGGTACGAATCCCAAGCTGGTGGTAGAGCAGCAGCACCCTTCGGCTTGTGGGTTCCCAGCAGTGCACCCCTGGGTACACAGCCAGACATGGCCAGTCTTAAAGCCATGCTGACTTCCAAACCTCAGCGTAGGGCTTCTATCATCTCCCTTTCCCCAGCTGCTGCCTCTGCCCTGGGAAAGATCAGTCCTACTTGCAGGCTGCAGAAACCGCTGCCGTGTCCCAGCCCTGTCCCTTCACTGCCTGCCAAAGCCACTCACTCCCCAGACATCTGTGTGCTTGCTTCTACATGGAGTGGTTTCCAGCATGGCATGGCCTCTCAGAGCAAAACCTTCTGGGAGGGTCAGACTGAAGCTTTTTGTCTTCAGGTCTTCCATGTACAAATGTGAGGTTCCTGAAGGGCAACTGTCCTGTAAAGCCAGGATCTGCAGAGAACAGCTCAGGACAGTGCTTGCCTCCCACAGAAGTGCATTATTGATGCTGGTGCTTTGCAGCCGAAGGCAACTGGCAGAGTGGGGTGTGGAGATTTGTTGTCAAAAGGGGTCTCTGCTCTGGCTGCTCAGACCAGGGTGCTGACCTCTGGGCAAGCATGCAGGGAGGGGAAAACTGGGGGCCATCATCATTGGTGCGAAGGCTCACCTTGCTGCGTGCAGAGCAGAACAGGCTCAGTGTGTGCTCCTGATCATTGTTTTAATTAGCAATATATTCTGGCAGAGAACAAAGGCCTGTCTCGTTGAAGCAGATGGCAGGGGGAGAGAGGTTGCTGCCTTATTATGGGGAGAGGCCACCACAAGCAAACAGCACAGGCTGCAGATGCTCGCCTGGGCTCCAAGCTGGAGGGTGACGAGCATTGAAAGCCACGACCATCTGCTCCTCAGCCCAGCCAAGCACGCGCCTGCCCAGATAATAATGCATTCCTGGGATCTCTACTCAGCCTGGATGTGTATGACCCGCATCCAGCTGTAGCACCACCGGGGCCAGGGAAACAATGCTGTGCCTGACATTGGGATGCACTGTCCCTCTGCACCCATCCCAGATCTGCTTTGTCCTCCCACTGGCGGTGGCTGACCCTGAGCTCCCACCACACAAAGGAACCCCCTCGTCCTCTGCAGTGCGGCCCTGGCACGGGGAGGGAGGTCACACGAGCTCTGCAGGGTCAGTGTCAGGGGGTTACCAGCCTGAAGCACACACACACGCGCACCTCTGCTGTATTTAGCCTCTTCAGATTGTTGGTGTCTATGGAGTTACCTTGTGGTGTGTTTTGAGGCTCTTGGTTTCGTGGCAAGTCCTGGACTTGAGAGGGTTTCGTGCTAGATGATTTAGATCTGATTCTATATAAAAATATGTTGCTTATGCAAAAATACTTGGACGTAGCACTGGATCCCTCTTCTGAGCGTCACTGCCCAGATTCCCCTCAGTGTCCCCCCACAAAGATGAGTGTGAGTGGCTGTGGGGTGGCAGCTCTGTCTGGCACCCAAAGATACCTTCTCTCAGTACAAAGTTGGCTGTCATGCATGCACAAGCACCTATGGGCTGGGCTGGTGTCAGCTCATGCATTTTGGGGAACATGGGCTGTTTTCTGCCTTTGCAGATGGTAGTTCGATGGTACCTGTTGCCTCAGCTTCTGCTTTTTGTATGCTTGCCCTGGTGGTTTATCAGGCAAACTAAGAATCTGCCACATGAACACCTCGATGGTGGTGCTAGCAGGACAGCACTTGTCTGGGCCAAAATCGGCAGATTTCCAATGCAGTATTATAGGTGTTCTTGGCTTTCTCCAGAACACTCAGCAGAGCTGCTGTGACTGCCTACCTCTGCCAGGCTGATGCCTGCCTGGGAAAGCAAAGGTGAAGCTCCCCAGTTCCATCTAAGGGTCTCCCTGATTCCTGCCCTGTGACTCTCCCCAAAAGCAGAGGGGTACATTGAGATGCTGCAGCGGCAAATGGCCCTTGTCTGGTCCAGCAGATGACACAGGAGCAAGCAGCAGAGCTAAAAAAAGTCTAGTGACCTAATCCAGTTTCCATGGTAACATTGTAGATTAATGGCTTTTAGCTGTAATCTGAATGAGCTGTATTGAACTTTTATATGATGATTTAGAGCCTCTTTATGTCGTGGGTGACTTTGACTTCAAATCCATCAGTCACGTGCATGCAGAAGTATCCACTTGTAACAGTGGAGAAGTGACATCTGCCACTGCTGCAGCTAAATCAGAAGTTAATATCACTGAGCATTGTGTGTGATTAACTACCCTCAGCTGGGACAAGGGTGGTAGGGACTTAACAACTTGTAGTACATGAGGAAATCGTTTTAAACGATGTACCTGTGCCCTGCTCCCAGTGCCCCTGAGCTGATGTGGTATTGCCACAGAGGAAGCAGGATGGCTTAAAACCAGCAAATAGTATGTTGGATTTTTGTTCTCTAGCCAGCTCAGTGGAGAGTTTGTTAGCAGCGTGGTTCTGCCTCCTGACCTAGAGCTACAGCTAGTGGAGGTGGTTTGGAGTGGGATTGGCCAAGCATACGCCAAAGTAGGGGAAAATAGGGTGCTGGAAGGAAGGCACAACCCAAACTCAAGTAGTGGATATGTGCAGCCCATGATCAGAACCCCAGACTGTTTGGGTTGGAAGGCACCTTAAAGACCATCCAGTTCCAACCCTCTGCCATGGGCAGGGATACCTTCCCCTAGAGCAGGTTGCCCAAAGCCCTGTCCAGCCTGGTTTTGACCACTGCCAGGGATGGGGCAGCCACAGCTTCTCTGGGCAACCTGTGCCAGCGCCTCAGCACTCTCACAGGGAAGAATTTCTTCCTAATATCTAATCTACATCTACCCCCTTTCGGTTTAAAGTTATTCCCTCTTGCCTTATCCTTACACGCTGTTGTCAAAAGCCCCTTTCCAGCTTTTGTGTCAGCCCCTTTAAGTACTGGAAGGCTCTTCTAAGTTCTCTCTGGAGCCTTCACTTCAAGCTGAACAATCGCAGCTCTCTCTTCGTGAATTTTTATCTTGACCACTGATACCTCTAAAGACAAAGCAGTGTAGTTTGCTTGAAGGGCAAATCTCTCCTTCCCTCCCCATCAACCTGCTGGACTCTGATCTGTCACCCCTCATGGGTCATTTGTAGGGTTTTAGGCATCTTTCTGCAGCTGTGGTTTATCCCCATGAGAGAACCTTCTGTGCCAGAAAAAAACAGCATCAAAGAGCCATGGATTGCCAGCCCAGCCTGTGGGGAGCGTGGAGATGAAAGCCTGGCGGCATTGCTGAAGCCCTGTAGCTTGTTCAATGCTGATTGCAGAGTCTCTTTCATATGGGCGATGTCTTGCAATAATAATAACTTGGGAATCTTTTGTTTTCTCCCCAGCACTGGAAGACGCGAGACAGCGAGGAGTATGAAGCTGAGGGTAAGAGCAAGCAGCAGCACTTGTATGTGCTTATTCTCTTTTCAGCTTTGAAGATGAATCAGAGGGGCACACTAAGTCTCAGGCCATCTGGGTGTGCTGAGCAGTCCCAGCTTGGTGTGGCACAGAGCTTGGCAAGGTGCATGCGGGGCAAGCAAGCTCCAAGTGGGGAATTAAAGGTAAAGCAGGGCTTCTTGGAGGGCAGAGTCTTGTGCCTTACCCCTTCTGCCCTCTTTTCCTCCTGCTGCCCAGTGCAGAGGCTATTCTGCTACAGGTGCTTCTCATCTCCCTAACCTCAGCACCCCAAAAGCAGGTCCTGGTCCCTGCTCCTGCCCAAGAGGGCTGCGGGCTGTAGTGGAGCACGGTAGGCACTAGATGTCAGCATGGACCAGTCATTAAATATTTCCTAATTGTCCTGTAAGGGAGAGCAGGGTGACCCCCAGGATGGTGGTCGGGGTTACAGCTGGGGTTTGGCACCAACCCTCAGCACAACCCGGAGCATGCAAAGGTATGTTTATAACTAAGCCATGCAGCTTTTAATCACTTCAGCACCTCTTCTGTATTTCAGCTGCTCTCCAGCACCTACTCCATCCAAAGGGACCAATTTCTTTTTTTTTTTTTTTTTCCTCAAAAGGCTGCTTTTTCAGTTCCAGGATGAGGTAGCGGATGCAGGGAGATGGCAAGCTCTGACTGGTTTGTGTCTAGTGGCATTTCCAGCTGGATGAGACTGCACTCCAGGCATTTGCTGGAGGTAGAGGAAGTGTGTGCAGCTGAAGGCTATTGGGTTTGAATTTTAATTTTTTTTTTCTTCCCCTGAAGAAGTGCTTGGAAGGAACTAGATGATCTTAAGGTCCTTTCCAACCCAAACCATTCTATGATTTAGATCAAAACATTCAGTTCACGTTCAAAGGGGACTGGAGTTTAGGAAGCACCACTTGGGAGGTGGCATTTATGAAGACAAGCAACTATTGAAGTTCTTGACCTGGTCACAGTTATGTATGGATATGCAACTTACTCAGTCCTCTCCCTTGACTCCATAACTGCCTAGAAGAGGTGGGGCCAGGTCCCTTCTCCATCCATGCCAGTGGCCAAAACAGCAGGGTTGTGCTTCTCCTGGCTGCCAGCCCAGGTTGGCACAATCCACTTGTCCACAATCCTCCTGGCCATGGTCCCATCCTGCACTTGTATGTGGGGTTCCCTCAGCTGTGGTGGCACATGTGAGTTGAGTGCTGAGCCAGGATCTGCTGCTTCTGAGAGTCCAACAGTGATACCCCAAAATATGAGTGTTCTCTGAGCAGGATGAGGTAAGGCAAATGGTTCTGTGGGGTCTGACAAACAAGGGGGGATTCTCTGCTAGCTGCAGCAGCGAGTCCCCCAGGTCTTCTGGTGGTCACCTGTGTGCAGTGGATGAACAGAAACCAGAGCAGTTTTCCCTTATTTCTAGGGCAGCTCCGCTTCTGGAACCCTGATGACCTGAATGCCTCCCCTGGAGCCTCACTGCCCAGCCCGGACTGGATAGAGGAGAAACTGCAGGAGGTCTGCGAGCACGTTGGCATCACCAGGGATGGACACCTGAACCGGAAAAAGCTTGTCTCCATTTGTGAGCAGTATGGGCTCCAAATGGCAGCTGGGGAGGTGAGTGGCCATGGGCGGACCTGTGAGCACCAGGGTGTACAGCCGGGTTTTGGTGTGGCCCCCAGAAAGTCTATCCTGCAGTTGACTGTGAGCCTAAAGCACAAGTGCTGGTTAACAGGTCACCACTTGGAAAGTGGTTTTCAGCCCCAGCTTATGGTTTCCCAGTGAGGTGGTTGGTGTCAAACTACTAGACATGAGAGGCAGCTGCCAGCCTTACTGTGCAGTGTGTGTCTTCTCATGCAATTGCAGAGTAAACTGGAATTTAAAAACATATTCTAGATTCCAAACATGTCTCCTTAATCCCAGAAATTTCTTAGCTAGACAGTAAATATGAGTTAAAATATTCATAGGTGGTTGCTTTTGACTTTGTGAGAGCCTGCAGGCTGTTTCTGTTCTGCAGGAAAAATTCACAAGAAAATTATTTCTTTAGCAAAGAAGTCTCTTGCCAATTTAGGATTGAGTTTTCTTAAAAATTGTACTGTTTTGTATTTTAAAATAACATGGCTTGTAATCGTCTCCATCATAAAACATGTTTCTGAGCAAGTATTCCTTTGCAGCATTTGGAACAAAATGTTTTCAGGGTATTAAGGCACAAAGTGGAAAGAATAAACTATAGATAAAGAAATAGTAAAGGACTAATCTTAACATCTCTGGTCCTGATAAGGTTGGTCTTGCTTTGCAGAAAGCAGACTGCCCTGAAGCATAGAACAGAGTTATTATGACCTTGCAGTATTTTACTGTGTGTGTTGCCTGGTCACTTCAAGCTGCTGGGGGTTTGGCGTCTGTCTCGCCACCTTGCACTGAATTCTTGAGGTCACTCTGTCTCAAGAGCAGAATGAAATGAGGTGATTTCATGTTGTCTCACAAGATATGGAGGCTCCAAGAAGACCAGGAGCTTACATAATTTTACAGGCACAATTTTAATAGTGTACGTGGCTCTACAGGTTTTTATATGAAGGTTGCTGTACCAGTGTTAGGTTGATACAGTGTACCAGGTAACTCTTGCTTTGCCTTTTTCTTTGGTAGAGCCTTGGAAATAGGGTGTTTTCTGCTGTGGCAAGTTTTCGCAATAGCAGATGTGATTTCTATCACCTTCCACTTGCAGGTGCTTGAAGAGGTACTCCATAACCTGGAACAAGATGGCACCATGAGCATAGAGGACTTCTTCAATGGCTTATTTAAAAATGGGAAGCCGCTGACGCCCTCAGCATCTACTCCATACAGACAACTGAAACGACACCTTTCCATGCAGGTGAGAAACTGAGTGGATCCTGGGTTTAGAAGCAGGAGGACAGGGCAAAGTCCTGAGAAAATAGCGCTAGCCTGCCTCCTGCTTTTCCTCCCCATTTGTCTTTGTGGTGGGGCAGCTGTGACTGTCCCCCAGACCTGGGATAGGCTGGAGACTGTGGGCTTGCAGGTCCCACATCTATTGTCTAATTATTTTGGGCGGGGGGAAGAATTTGGAATCTTCTACCTATCTTTGCCTGGAAGTTGAGGGCTACAGCAAAAGCACCTGTGCAAATGCTTCCTGCAGTGTTTTTTAGGGGAGGTGACACTTGAAACCAAAACCAGGCAGTGCAAAACACTTTTGGAGCATCAAGGACAGCTCTGAAGCTGTTCGTCTTCATATTTATTTTAAATCCAAAGTGCCTGGTTGTGCTGTGGTGCTGGGAGGTCAGCAGCAGCACTCCTGCTGGGTATTTGCTTGGCCGTGAGGAAAAGCAGACCTTAATCCTTAATCTCCAGAATACTGTTAGTGAAATTACATTTACAAGCCTTCCTTGTCATGGGGTGGGCAGATGCCTGGCTCTGCCTATGCCCCATTACATCCTCTTCTCTCTCTCTCCACAGTCTTTTGATGAAAGCGGGAGGCGCACGATCACCCACTCAGCCATGTCCAGCACCATTGGCTTCTGTCTCTTCTCCAGCCTGGATGATGGGATGGGCTATGGCTGTGTGGAGGGTGTCCTCGACTGCTGGCACCAGGAGGGTATAGAGAACAGCCAGGAGATCCTGAAGGTAAGTGACAGCTCCATCTCACCCCTTCTATTTGCCTATTTTTTTACCCAGTGTGGGATGCTGGATTACTACTTTTTTCCACTTCCTTAGAATTCCCAGTGCTAGTGAGAAGCATCTAACTGTTCCAGGAAATTTCAAGTAATTTCCTTTATTGAAATTCTGGTGCATCCCAGAGAGCTAGAAGTTAATGAGGGAGGGAAAAAAAAAGTAACATGATTTCCAGCTTGGCTTGAAATTTGTAGAAAATTCACTTGTATTTGTAGAAAGTAAATGATAAGTTGACTATGAACCGGCAGTGTGCCCTTTTGGCCAGGAGGGCCAATAGTATCCTGGGGTGAACTGGGAGGTCTGTGGCCAGCAGGCTGTGGTTCCTCTACTTGACCCTGGTGAGGCCACATCTGGAGTACTGTGACCAGTTCTGGGCTTCTCAGTACAAGGAAGACAAGGAGCTGTGGAGAGGGTCCAGCGGAGGCCACAAGGATGATTGGGGGTTTTGGAGCATCTTTCTTATGATGAGAGATTGTGGGAGCTGGGCTGTTTAGAGAAGGGAAGACTGAGAGGGGATCTCATTAGTGCATATAAATATCTCAAAGGAAGGTGCCAGAAGGATGGTGACAGACTCTTTTCAGTGGTGCCCAGCAACAGGACAAGCAGTGACCATAAACTAAACCACAAGTTTCACCTCAACATGAGGAAGAACTTCTTTTTGTTGAGGGTGGTAGGGTGTCCAGAGTCTCTCTCTCTCTCTCTCTCTCTCTCTCTCTCTCTCGACACATTCAAAACCCTCCTGGACTCATTCCTGTGTAACCTGCTCTAGGTGGCCCTGCTTTGGCAGGGGGGGTGGACTAGATGATGTCCAGAAGTCCCTTCCAACCCTAATGATTGCAATTCTCTAAATTTAAATCCTTTACCTCACTAAACATCTGCTCCTGCAAACCTTTCAGCACTGGGATGTCCTGAATTACTGCCTGTGCTGAGGTGGAGGGACAGCGCTTGGAAAGTCTGCCCGGTCCTTCATGTTTTATTATACAGAATGAAGGGTAATGGGGGTTGCAAATCAACCTTGCCCATCTCACTGGAAGCTGTGAATGGGAGATGATAAATTCATGTGCTGTTCTGAGGCCATCACTGGGTTCTCAGCAGCAATGGTGGCAGATTTCTTTTGGCATTTAGCAGCTGTATTGACACCCTGGTGGTAATAAACTCTACCATTGCTCAGGCTTTAAAAACCACTTGTAGCCTGGGCTCATGTAGACCAGTTTGATGATGTGGTGCTACTTACAGTGAACTTGTGTGATATAACTTCTGCTTGTTGCTTTACTCTTGTAACTTGCTTTGTTACCAGTGTTCGCAGTGTTTCAGCCCCACTGCCAGCCCTTCTGCGCTCCACTTTGTGCTCCTGCAGACTTAAGCTGAAGGAAATGAAAAGCAGTTGAAGGCTCCGGGTAGACCTTAGAGCAGCTTCCAGTGCCTAAAGGGGCTGCTGACACAAAAGCTGGAGAGAGACTTTTGACAAGGGCCTGTAGGGATAGGGCAAGGGGAAATGGCTCTAAGCTTAAATACGGTAGATTTAGATCAGATATTAGGAAGAAGTTCTCCCCTGTGAGGGTGGTGAGGCACTGGAACATGTTGCCCAGAGAAGCTGTGGCTGCCCCATCCCTGGCAGTGTTCAAGGCCAGGGTTGATGGGGCTTTGAGCAACCTGGTCCAGTGGTAGGTGTCCCTGCCCGTGGCAGAGGGTTGGAACTGGATGATCTTTAAGGTCCTTTCCAACCCAAGCAATTCTATATGGTTGATTATGTATGATTCTTTACTCTCTAAGAGGTCGGATACTTGCTATCAAATACCTCTTACAAGGCTGCTTCTGTGTTTCTACTGCAAGAGCTGATTTTGTTCAACACGCGCATCTTCAACCCCTTTCTTGTAGCATTTGAATACGTAAGAAGGCCAGTGTAGTTATGTCCTCTAGAGAATTAGTAGTTTTAATCAGGCATGGGCTTAATTTCCTGCTGGTCTTGCAGCACACCCAAGACACTTTCCATCTCCACAGCTGTCAGCAGTTCTTTAACATAGGAAAGTAGCAGAGATGTCTGATTTATTGCCCCAAAGGCATTTTTGACAGATTAATCTCTTCTGAGCCTCCTTATCTTATTCTGTCACTTCATGAACAAATGTCTCCAGGCTCCTGCAGGGCAGGAAAGCTTGTTCTGGTCTAACATGTTGTGTTTTGCAGGCTTTGGACTTCAGCTTGGATGGGAAGGTGAACCTGACAGAGCTGACGCTGGCTCTGGAAAATGAGCTTCTAATAACCAAGAATGGAATCCACCAGGCAGCCCTGGCAAGTTTCAAAATGGAGATCAGACACTTGCTGTAAGTCACCCAGGTTGCTGGCTCTGCTGCTTCCTCACTGCACTGTCCCTTTGGCCAAGCAGGAGTTTAAGTAGGAACTGATTAATGATGGTTCATAGCACTTCGAGGAGCATTGATGTGGTGCTGCCCTTTCGCTGGAAGGCAAGGTTCTCTGGTAGCTTCATGAGAGACTTCTAGTGGTCTCATTTTGCATGGGTAAAACACTCACACTCGAGTGTTGCAGAAAAATAGACTTAAAGTCCAAGCAGCAGGCTGTTCCCAGAGCCCTGCTCTGCAGTCTGGAAATGGTCACTGCAATCTGCAGTTGTCAGTGGCCAAGGAATGCAGAACTGAAGATGGAGGCTGGTGCAATTTGGTAAGCAGTACCTTTTAATAATAACTGATTTCTTGCAATAGTGTTACATAGGTTTTGCCATGGGATAAAGGTGTGGGTGAGGTACAAAACCTCTTTGGACCCCCACTTTTTTCGTTTGAAAGTCAACGCAGTTTGAATTTGCACTGGACTTGCTGTCAGGCCTCTCTATTGAGAGAGCATAGGAGGTGAGAAACATATTCCCCTGTTTGTATATTTAATATAGATATTATATACATGTGCTAGTGAACTCAAATATTTCTTCATGAGACACCAATGGATCACCTTGCCCACCACACTTTGGAGACCCCTGCTCTAAGAGTTGCACCCTCAGTTTTGCATTGGTTCATTCCTCTTGTGTAACTGTTGCATCCATCTGCCATGTGCATGAATTCCAGTTGTTAGTGGTATTTTGTTTGTACTGTAAATCTTTGAATAGTTTAGATAATTATCGGCTTATGCCTCCATCTCCATGCAGCACCATAGATGACTTTCACTGGTCATTAAGACTGCAAGGTCATTAAGTTCTGTTACCTGTTGGCTCACCACTTTTGCTTGCAAGTTGCCCACTTTGCTTGTATGAAACTTCACAAGATGAGGTTCTCGATGTGTTTGCATCTACATGCGTAAATAACTTCATGTTTACACAATGGAGAGATTTGTTGTCAAGTTCTCATCAAGAAAGCTGCTCAGTGTAGCAGATCTTACCAACTTGTGATGAAGACCTGGTTGGGTGTAGTGTAAAGGTGAAGTGGTAAAGGTAATAAAATGAGAGAACAAATAAATGAGCAGAAAGTGGCCTGGCAAAATGGCATAGCACTGCAGTTTGAGGGGCTAGACCATAGCTAAGGAGTTCTAGTGTTGAGGTGTTGTGGACCTAGGAGAGGATATCAAGACATGTCCAGAGCTGTGTGTGCAAGTTCGTACCTAGTGACTAAATGCAGTTGATAAGACCCTTGTCAACAAAGGAGAGCTTTCTGAGATGCTGTTCTCTGATGAGCTTTTTGCAAGTATCTTCTCTGGGGGAGCTGTGAGGGATGACCTGATCCAGACCAACTGTGCTTACCCTAGGGAGAGGGCTGACCAAGTGGCCAGAGAAAAAGAGAAGCTGCGGTCAGACTTGGAAAAGGCTGAAAAGCTGAAATTCCTGATGGCCTCCGAAGTGGATGACCACCACGCCGCAATTGAGCGCCGAAACGAATACAACCTCAGGTATGGTGATCCAGTTCATCCCTCTCCTCCTTTTTTGCATCGTTGCCACAGCATTGCAGGGGCTCGGTGATAGAGGTAATGGCTTCACACCTGCTGATTACCACTGAGCTTCACTTGCAGCAGCTTTGGCTGACTGCTGCTTCTTATGAGCTTTTCTTGCCTCCGATGCCTTTGTAGGAAGCTGGATGAAGAGTACAAGGAACGAATTGCAGCTCTAAAGAATGAGCTGCAGAGAGAGCGGGAGCAAATCCTGCAGCAGGCTAACAAACAGCGGCTGGATCTGGAGCAGGAGATAGAAAAGCTGAAAAATGATGAGAACTACATCCGTGACCGCCTCGCCCTGTCCCTGAAGGTAACAAGCACTAAATGCAGCTCTGTCCTTCCCCCAGAAGACAAGGATGCCCTGAAGTAGGGAGCAACATTTGCAATGTGGTTCTTGTGAGAAGGCATGTTGCAGTGCATGCTGAGCTAGCTGAAAATAATTTCAGCAGCAAGATAGAGGCATATCTACGAGAATTGGTTTTTTTTAGGTCACCTTGATAGGTTACTCCTTAGGTTGATAAAGCTCCAGTTCAAATCTCTGCTGCCATTAAGTGCAGAGTGTGCATGTGTATGGTTATCAGAAGGGCTGTGTGCACTGTTGGCTGTTTGGCTGTCCAGCCAGGAGATAATGTCTTGACAAAGTTTAAATTACTGTTTTAAAAGCAAACACACAAACCCTTTAAAACAAGCTTTCTGCTGTGCCTTTTGGTAATTTAACTGCTGCCTAACGCAATGGTATCACTCACCTGTGACCCCACAGATTCAATTCCTTTTCTAGATTTTTTTTATGTCTGCTGCCTGACAATGTAATTAACCTTTGCTCAGTTTAATAAAAAAATTAAATTGGTAATGGTGTTGTCTTACAAACACATGAGGGAGCTGATGAACCCTTACAGATGTTCAGGTGAGCAGCTTTTGAAAGGGGGTGGTTGTCCTGTGAGCATCAGGAACATTGTAGAATGTTCTTCCCGAAGCAGTCAGCTGAAAGGTGAGAAGAGCCAGAGGAGCACATGGTTTCTGAGCTGCTGCAGGTCTGGAGTGCACATTTGCTGTTCTGCTGCAAGCAGGAGGGTTGTATGTGCATGGATTCACAATTCCTGTCTTCAGCTGAAGCTTGTAGCAGTGTCATGCTCTGACTTGACTGGGAGATTACTCTTTTTCTGGTGTGCTAATGGCTTCGTCCTCCTTCAAAATCTGAGGCTGTTGGGGTGGTTTTTTGTTTGATGCAGAAAAACAGTCGCCTGGAAAGCGAGCTATTGGAAATGGGAGAAAAACTGTCCAAGTATGAAAGTTTGGCAAGCAAGCTACAGAGGAACTTGGAAAACGTCCTGACTGAGAAGGTAAATCCTCCTCTTCCCGGTCTGCTTCCAGAATTAAATTGCTTTTTGGTTGCTACACATAAGCTGCCAATTTAATAGCTGGAGGCTCTTGTGGTCCCTATCCAGATGTGACCAGCCTGCCTTTTTGACGTGGACTGCCTGTCTCGCTTCCAGTTAAGGAAATTAGAGAGGCTCCAGCTTAGCTGTAGTTTTACACTAATTAACAGCAGAGAGCTTTACAGTGAAGCAATCATCTTGCAGGTCCATGGGGATTTTATTCCCCAGCACAATGTTTTGGATAGACCCAACATGCAGGCCCTTTCTAGGGAAGATGATACATGAGGGGTATCTCTGCTGCATCTTAAGTGAAAGGTGAGGTGAAGAGCTGGTTGATCATGGTTATATCACAGTAAACTCATCCAAATAACAGCTTCTTCAAAGGCATTTTGGTGTATGTGTGCTTCTATAGGCAGAAGCTTATATACTGGGATTCTGACCGAGCATCTATCTTCCAGACTGCTTTAAAGCTGGAATTGTTTATTAAATTGTGATGTGCATATGCTAAGCTAGAAAGTTGAGGTCTGAAATCAAAGTTAGCATGTATATAGCTAGTATCTGCTAAGGAGGTTACTCTTTGTTCCTTCCCAGCAGGGAAGCAGAGCTTCTGTATTTAAAATAAGATGATAAAAAAGAGGGGAGGGGGTGCAGGCTGCAGGATTGCCAGTGGATGGCACTCAGGCTGCGATGAGCAGGTGATGTGGTGGGTAGAAGAGTAACTGGATTCTGTTGTTGGTATTTCAGTTTGGGCACCTGGATCCCAGCAGCACAGAGTTTTTCCTGCAGGAGGAGAGACTGGCACAGATGAGAAGCGAGTACCAGCGGCAGTGCAGAGTAAGTGGAGCCCAGGGCTGGAGACCTGGCACCTGTCTGCCTATATTCATCAAGAACATCCTCACTGCAAATGGCAGCACAGAGCAGCAATATAAAGCTGATGAGTTTTTTTCCTGTATAATTGTTTTGGTTTTGTTTTGTTTTCTCTTACATTAATCCAAGCTCTATAGGGGTGGAAAGGCCTTGCCACAGAGGTGGCTGGCTGAGCTAAAACAATGAGGGTTCATGGATCCTCCTTCACTCCCCAGCTGTACATCAAGCCCAACTTCTTGCACAGTTGTGCACTAGTGGCTTTTTGATTTATGAAATAAACTTTGTCCTAATTTGTATCCAGAGTTGAAGGAACTTACAGTTGAAATAGAATATTCCTGAGTTTTGCTGTTTTCCAAAACAGTAGTGTTTTCTTAAAACTGAAAAGGTAAAACTCGTCTTCTTCTCCCTACGTCTTGTATGGCTGAAGTACTTCCTTAAGGTGGGGTTGCAAGTTACCTATTTACATACCTGTTTTCTGATGACTACAATGATTACCAGTATTTTTCTTATCTGTTCTGCATGATCCTTTTCACACAATAAAGGACTACCTTGGCAGAAGGCTTTCTAATCTGAAACAGAACAGTAGCTCTCTTAGGAAGTTGCAGTTTAAAGGCAAAAATTGTCTATAAATACTTGTTGAATTGATGCATTTTGATAAGATGTTGCTTGAATATAAAATTTGTTTTCTTTTTTTGAGTACTGGCAGATATGAATCAGTACTCAAGGTTTATTTTCCTTTCCAATCTGCAGAATTGTCCTGACATATTCAGGGATTCACATTCCTCAGTAAATGCTGTTTATCAAGTTGAGTGCATGGCATTTGGCATAAACACTCGGGATATTCCACTGGCAAGTGGGCAGAAGTACCAGATGGTAAATGCAGTAATGAGGGTATCTCTTTCCTAATTTGATCTTCTGGCTTCTGATTTGATTTTTCAAGTAGATGGTGTTTGAGGGGGCATTTCTTGACTGTTTGAAAATGTTCCTAAGCTGCTGTTTAAAAAAAAGGTCATAGGAAGAAGGAATAAAGTGAAAGGTCCTGGAGCATGATCTACTTTAGGGGCAGAATATACACAGGCTGTCAGTCTGAAGATGGTTCTGCTCTTTTAGTAAAAAACATCTGTTGCTTGCACATATTGGAACCTGGAGAAGGGTATTGTTTTGCAGATAGGAGAACGACTAACTGGCACCCTGGCAGGATTATTGTCAAGTCTTTACCTACTGTAATTTCCTTCTACATGTCTCATCATGGGAGTGTGTGGATGTGAAGATGCTGAATTGTCTGTGGTCACTTTTACTCAGGTTTCTTTTTCCCCTCTTTCAGGAGCTGCAAGACCAGATAGATGAGCTGCACTCGGAGCTGGAGGAGTACCGTGCCCAAGGAAAAGTGCTCAGGCCTTCGCTGAAGAATTTGCTGTCGGAAGAGTTTGACATTGATATGAAAAGTCATGGCAATAGTGGTATTGAGCCTGACCAAGGTAAAGCACATCTCCTGTATAACCAACTTCTCTGCTATAGGTATTTGTGATAACATCTTAGAGGCAATTACGTAAAAGCTTTCCCAAATCTTCACAGTGAGGCACAAACACAACCTCTGATTTGCTATTTAACATGGAATATGGCTGTTGTATTATCTTCAATGCCAAAATGAATGTTTGCAGTTTTTTGTCTGTGTGTGTGATGGGAGCTTGAGAGCTGCAAGGTAGCTGCCTAAACAAGTTTAAATTGATGAAATAATTCTGTTGAGAATGTATCTCTTTGGGCTTCAAGAATATGTATATAATTACTGTTTTTGAAGGACTTGGTTCAGAAGACTGCAACCCACTAAATATGAGCATAGAGGCAGAAATGGCTATTGAACAAATGAAGGAGCAACATCACAGGGATCTGCATCACCTCAAACAGGAGCTTGAAGACACAGTAAGCTATTTTATCTTAAAATAAAATTTCACAACTTTTCCAGTCTCTTCAGAGATGGAATGGTCTTAAAGGACTTTTAATTCCTGGTCAGATTATAACCTTTCTATGAATCTAGGCCTTTAGCTTCTCTGTTCCTTCTGCACATTGCTGTGTGATGGAGGGGTGCTGGAGAAGGCTGAATGAATGCTGAGGTAGACAGACACACATGCCACCCACCAGCTAACGAGAGCAGTGAGCTGTTCTGATGCAGTATTGCATTTCCAGTAGTGAAAGCCTGCTGCATCTGAATTAGCCACTTCACTCCTGCTGACATGGGATAATTGCAGGTTAGAAAGGCTGCTGGCAGGAGTCTACATTGCTAAATGCTATGCTTGTGCAGTCTGGTGGTGTCAAAACGTGATCTGTCCTCTGGGAGTACGGAAACTGCTGTTATGCTACTGAAAATGGGCAGTCAGCTCCCTGTTTCCTGGGTGTCCATCTGCAGATTATTCTTGCCATGCTTGCAGAAATATCTCTATCAGCTCTATGTGGAGGAAGCCTGGGTATGGATGGGCTTTGAGTCCCCACTGCAGTAGCTGGTGTGCTAGGATAAGCTGGTACAGCTTTGGACATGGCACAGTGCCCACCATCAGCCTGTGCTGGCACATCCCTGGCAGGGTCACAGTGTTCCTCTGCAGGTGAGGTGCACTGGTGTAGAGATGGCCAAGCTCATTCTATGGGAGTCAGTCCAGGAGCAGAAGTAAGGGGTCCCATCAGGCTTCCCCTGTGTCTATCAGATATAATTGTTATAGGACTATAAATATTCTTTTCATATATGGCATAACATGAGTATGCTGAAACTGTATTGTGATGAAGTTGGGATGGGAGTGGGGAATGGGGGCTGATAAAATATCACCCCAGAATAACTACTTAAGTGTTTGTCTTCTGTCAGGTTTTGGTGTGGTGGTTTGTTTGTTGGTTGGTTTTTTGTGGGGGTTTTTTTGTTTGTTTTTTGTGGGGTTTTTTTGTTTGTTTGTTTTGTCTTTGTTTTGGGTTTTTTTTCCTTTGGTTTTTGTTTTTGTTTCTGGTCTGTTTGTTCATTTTGTTGTTGTTTTGTTTTTGTTTAGGTCTTTTTTTTGGGGGGGTGTGGTTGTTTGTTGGGGTTTTTTTGTTGTTGTTGTTATAAAGGGCAAAACAAAAATGCACAAAAAAATTCTGCCTCCAAACCAGAAAAATACGCCAAAAAATCCTCACCCAAAACTAAACCCACCCAAAAAACCCACCCCAAAATAAAATAAAACCCCCTAAACACAGCCCACAAAACAATCTAACAACCCCCTCCCCCAAAACCCTGAAAAACTCTAAACCACCAAACAAATACCTCCCCTTATCTCCCTTTTAAGAGGAAAGGCCTCATGTGCCTCTTAATTTGGGGAAGGTTTTGAAAAAGTAGTCAGTGAAGTGCAGTCCACTTGCAATTTGCAAAACTGACTTAGGGCTTCAGAGTTGTTAGTAGCTTCTCTTCTCACAAATTCGTTTAATGGAAAAGCATGAATTTCACTGGCTTCTATGTAATACTCATCTAGGCATTAGCATTCTTTGCAGAGGGAATCAGTATAAGATGCGAACGCGTAAATCAAAATATTCTATAGAATATATGGAAATATTTTGTACAGAAATGTTGAGAAAACATTTCTGTAGAAGGTTCTGTTGAAAAGGAGCCAATCCAATCTGGTTTCTGTTTTGTAGGTGAACCATTACGAAAAGCAACTGGACGAGACAAAAATCCACTCTGAAAAGGAACAAGAGGATATGAGGAAGAAGTACACTGAAGAGATGCATGTCATGGAAAAGCAAATAACTGGTCTTAAAAATCAAATTGTAGAACTGCAAGGAGAGGCAGCAGTGCTCAGAGAACAGCAAGAAAAGCTTGACTGTAAACACAGTGATGAGAAAAACAAATTACAGATGCGTTTTGATGAGGAAAAAGCCAATCTTCAAGAACTACTGAGGCAGGAGCATGAAGAAGATGTTAGAGCCAGGCTGGATCAGATAAATGAGAAGTTTAGTCAAGAACGGGAAGAACTGATCCAAAATGGTGTCTGGGTGGAAGAAAAGATGAGAGTTCTAGTGCAAACACTGCAGGAAGAGAAAGTAGAGCTGGAACGTGGCTTTCATGAACAGCTGAAAAGGATGGCTGAGGTGCATGCCCTGGAGAAGAAAGAGCTCCAGCAAGAGCTGCTGAGGAAACATGAGCAGGACCTGGAGGAGGAAAGGTAAGTGTCAGTGCTGGTGTGGACAGTGGTGGTGTACACTGACCTCAGTGGCTTGTCATGGTGACCATGGTGAACCTACTGCAGAATTGACTCCTCATGCTTAATTAAAGTGTACAAACTGTACAGTGCTGGTATGTGTTTTATTCCACAATATTGGGCAGCTGTCGAGGGGTTGTTTTTCTTTTGACCTTTCTTAAGCAGATACTTAACATTGATTTTTAACTCACCCAGAGGCAACAATAGTGTTAAAGCATAACCAGACACTATTAACTTGAGCCTCTGCTCAGGATCTCTGTGCTTTACAAATCCTTGCTTTGCACTTTTAAAGCATTTGGGTTTTCAGACTTCTTTTTTCAAGAGGTAAAGGGATGGCTGGTAAATGCTTTTAGCTAAGATCAACTATTAAAAGAAACTGAAACCCTGCAGAGGTGACGGGGAGTGATGGGGGTAAGAATATCAGCCCCTACAAATCTGATCATAAGAATAGAAGGACATATATTGTACACGAAACCTTTTCTGAGGATATTTCATGAGTTACACTTTTCCAAGGCAATGAGGTTTTTATTTTTGAAAGTTTCAACAAACTGCCTCAAATTTAACTTTGGCTCTCAGAAACACCTGTCATGTAATACTTCATCTAAAACTCAGTGAAGAAGTGGGGTTTTTGTCAGCTTGTTTTATTCAGCCTAAAAAGCCATTTGAATCTATTTAAGTTAGCCCAGAGTTTAGTAATGTCTTATGTTAACCATGTCTAGGAAAAAAATGGAAAGTGACTATAACAGAAGAGCATCTCATGTAGAAACTCCATTTTCTGCCAACACACAAACACTTGTGAATAAATATGAAGAAACGATCCAAAATCTGGAAGGACATTACCAGCGAGAGTTGCGTGAACTTGCTGAACAGCAAAGGGAGGCAAAATCTCAGTGGGAGTTTGAAAAGGATGAAATTGTTCAGAAGGTTGCTGAAGCCCATGAGCAACTGAAGGAAAGTCTGGCAAATGAAAAGGCCATTTCTTCTGCCCTCACCCAGGAGAAAGATCTCCTGGAGAAAAACTTCAAGGAAGAAGTGAACAAGCTTGTGTGCGAGAGAGAGCAGCTTCAGAAGGAGCTGCAGGACCTGAGGAATGCTGCTGAGAAGCAAGCGAAAAGGTTGAATGATGAAATAACACAACTCCAAAATGACTACGAAAAAGAGCTAAAGTGCAAAGAAGAGCGTATATCCGTGGTGGAGGAAAATGGGAAGCTGTTTAGGCAAAAGCTGGAGAGACTTTACAGTGAATATAAGCAAGAGAAGGAAGACCTCAATTCCAAAGTGCTTGCTTTGGAGAATTTAAACCAGGACATTTGTGTAAGAGCAGAAACAGAAAAGGCTGAGATGAGTTTGGAAATCTTTAACCTTCAAGGGAAAATACAGAAATTACAGTGTGAGACCCATTGTTTTTCTGCACTACAAAATCATTATAGGGTCCTGGAAAATGAGTATGCAAAAGCAAAGAGCAGAATTGCTTCTTTTAGTAGTATGGCACCTCTGGGAGATGATGTGGATGTCCTCTTAAATCTACAGAAAGTGCATGAACAAGCAGTGAAGGAAAATGTCAGAATGGCTGCTGAGATCGTCAGGCTGCAGCACAAATTGCAAGTGGCAGAGCAGGAACTGGTGCAGCCTCCCAGTCCTGGCTGCTCCTACTCTGGCTCAGAACCATCTCAGCTGCCAGATGAAATGGATCCCATCTTTGAAGGGTTGCCCAGCGACTGTAAAGATGCAGACAAGGAAACAGATTTGAATGTCCTTCCACTTCTGGAGGCTGATTCTACAGATCTGGAAGAAATTATTGAGATGGATTCAGATTTGGAGAAAGCATGTGTTAAAGCCAGAGCAGACAGCCATGCCTTCAAGGTGCAGGTGTGTCAGATGCAAGGAAGGAAAGTGGCAGTGGAAGCTGCTCTGGTTAACCTGAATGACATGCATCTCCACAGAGAGAGAGGGGAGAGGCATACAGTGGAGCACAGCTTACAAAGCATGTGCACTGAGCTGCAGCAAAAAGTTGATCTTTTGAGGTAACGTACACTCGCAAAACTTTGTGGGAAACATGCTGCTTGGAAACTAACCTAGCATCCCACTCTGCTTTGTAGCCACCTGCCTGCTGTATGGCTACTGCATTAACCCCTGTAGTTTAACTCTGATTAGAAAACAGTGCCTTGGACTTGTAACTACTAGCAAGCAGGCTGTTTAATTGTGGATAACGACAATTGAAATGTGTGACTTTCCTCTCTGATCGTGACCTAACACAAATGGTAGAACAGGAGCAACCTGCCAGCTGTTCTGCCTGTGGATGTACTCACCTTTGCAGTGTGTAGTTTATGGTACACCAGAAACTCCTGCATTTTTATGTACAAAATACTATGGTAACACTTCCAGAATGCTTTCAGCTTTTACTAATATCACTTCTTCACTTGGTTTGCACCCTTCTAGTACTAAATGCTACTTGGAATGGTGAAAATACTTCTGGTTTCCTCAATATTTAAGTTAATACTAGAGAGATATGGTAGCTTTTTTCCCCAGCAGGAGCACTTAGTGTTACAAATCCATCAGGTATGTGATATGGTAAATACCATTATAACACAGAGAATATAACAGGTTTTAACTACTTGTTTTTAATGGCTGTATTTCAGTAAAGATTTTTTTTTTTGAGTCGATGTCATAGTTGAAACATTATTCTCAGACTAAAGCTGAAACCCAGCATTGTACCACCTACTAGGAAGAAAGTTAACTCTATCCCAGCTGAAACCAGGACAGTATCCACCCCTTATTTCATACCATTCACATCATGCGAGGTCCCACACTTCCCACCATCACCTTTTCTGTCTTTAGATATATAAATATATATACACACAGAGAGATCATTCCCTTAGTCCCTACAAAAGTTTGAGTTCCATGATCTGGGGCTCCATCTTCATAACAGCTTCTCTAGACAGGAAGGATGGATGATGGTGTGTGGTGTTGGATTGTTGCATGCTAAAGCTCATTTTAGTTCTATCACTGCTGCACTTGTCTAGTTTTATCAAAGCTCATTCTTCATTAATGTGGTGGTAAAAAGGGAGTTGGGTTCTGAAGCGATGGAGATAGGTGCCACAAGTATCCAGCACAGTAATGGGTTGCTGCAATAGAGGCAATAATGTTCAATGTTATACAGCATCATACAGTTTAATTCATTGGCTACTTTAACCCAGAATCAAATCTCTTTGAGGTACGCACCAGAGTTCCCATCCTCTTACGTTACCCATCAAATGCACCCAGGTCCTTGAGCAAAAGCGATCCCACAAGTGGATTTGCCTTTGCCTGAGGCAGGAATAACCCAGACTCTCTTCCCTGGCAAATTCTTTATGTGCACCACAAGAACTTTATCCTCCTCTGTGGTTCATAAAAGCTTCGATTGGGCTTGGCCAGCCCGGTTGGAAGATCCTTTAGTAACTAACCAGGTGGTGTTTGCTAAAAGTGTATTCCAATGTTTGAAAGTTTGGGATTGTGATGACATCCATCTAGCCATTTTATTTCCAAAAATTGGATCTCCTTTGCAGGTCTCATGGCCTTACTCTGTTTTATGGCAAACTGGCCTTCAGAAGGACCTGGATTATTTTCTTCCTTTTCTCAAAAACTTCCTCTGCTCTATCACCCTACATGATAATGTCATCAATGCATTGCAGATGTTCTGGAGCCTGCCCCTGTTCCAGTGCAGTCTGGATCAATCCATGGCAGATGGTAGGGCTGTGTTTCCACCTGTGGAGCAGTTGATTCCACGTGTACTGGATGCCCTTCCAAGTAAAAGTGACCTGTGGCCTGCACTCTGCTGCCAAAGAGATTGAGAAAAATGCATTGGCAATATCAACTGTGGCACACCACCTGGCTGCCTTTGACTCCAGTTCATACTGAAGTTCTAGCATGTCTGGTACGGCAGCACTCAATGGTGGGGTGACCTCCTTCAGGCCCTGATAGTCTACTGTTAGTCTCCACTCTCCATTCCACTTTTGCACTGGCCATATGGGGCTATTAAAGGGTGAGCGGGTCCTGCTGATCACTCCTTGGCTCTCCAGTCATCCAGCTTATGGATGGGAATCGGGGAGTCTCAGTTGGTGTGATATTGCTGCCGGTGCACTGTTGTGGTCGCGATTGGCACTTCTTGTTCTTCGACCTTCAGCAACCCCACAACAGAAGGATCCTCTGAGAGACCAGGCAAGGTGGACAGCTGCTTAATTTCCTCTGGCTCCAAGTCAGCAATACCAAAATCCCATTGGTACTCTTTTGGGTCCTTAAAATACCCTCTCCTCAAGAGGAAGGATGCTTACTTTTAATAGCTGAGATGTGTGTCTGTACAGGTGGGAAGTAGGATCTATCCTCTTTTTGCTGCTGGAACTCGTGGAACAGTTTCTCACATTGTTTGGACAGCTTTTCCACAGCAGAGATGTAGGGCCATAGGGAGGAAGAGAGGGTTTTTTCATATTGCTGGAGTTGGCAAGTTAATTTATTCATCGTTGGTGTGTCTGCACCTTTCCAGGTCGGTGGTGCCAGTGAGCTGGCATATGACAGTGGTGCACTTTGAACCACTTCCCAACATGTCACTGGTGTGCTCTGGATTCTGTCTGGATATGTGGGTAACTGTGCATGTTTGGATCAAAATAAACCTAGTGCAGCTTATCCCCTCAGGTACTGGATACCCCTCTCTATAGTTGTCCATTTCCCTGGGTTGCATGCAACATGTTCTTTGAAGGGATACCTTTCCTTCACAGCTGATAGCAGTCAATTCCAGAGGCTGAGGGATTGTGTCCCTTTCCCAATCAACTTGACAACACCTGCTTCCCTAGAAAGTGATCCTAGCTGCTTGGCTTCCCTGCCCTCTATGTCCAGGCTACTAGCTTCATTGTCCCAGCATCAGAGCAGCCAGGTGATAATGTGCTGACCTGGACAACAGCTGAAATCTTTTTGTATATCCTGCAGCTCACTCAGGGGCAGGGATTGAGATGTTACTTCTGGTTCTTCCTCTTCCTCTGTTTGTTGTGAAGGCCCTGTTTGTCCTCTTTCACTACTCAAGATGCCTTCCATGTCTACTTCTTCTTCTGTACAAGGGTGTCTGATAGTGGCACAGATTAGTTCTTTGGTTCAGATACAATCTCTTTCAATGGGTTGGAGTAGCTGCTGTGTCTGTTGTCAGAGTTAGAGTGGAGTAGCCACGGTGCTCATTGTCAGGGTTGGAGTAGCTGTGGTGTCTGTTGCTTTGCCATCAGAACCAGAGACCTTCTTTTCACCTCAAGAGTACTGAATAGTTGAGCAGGGCTCTGTCGGCATGGGCCAGGCCCCCACACGTTGCAGTTACTTGTACCTCTCTGGTACTGCCAGGATGACAGCATACCTTTTTAAAGGTTTTACTAGCTTTTCCAGATTTGCTCAAGGGTGAAGTTCCAAACCACTGGAGGAGCCCACAGACCCAGGTGCTTGTCCATGCTATCCCACACATCCTGCCACTCATAACTATCCAGCCTTGAGGAATATCTCTTCGTGGTATTCTGAAGTAGTTGTTTCACCTTAAATCAGATCTGAACCATATGCAGCAACATGCTGGTTCCCAGCAAAAAGACCAGGTTGGTTTCAAGAGTACCCAAATGATATTAAAAATCTTTTAAGTTCTCAAATGCTACTCAAATAGGCTGGTGGGGAAGGTGTGGGAGGAGCTTCTCCATAGGTTGTCCCTCCAAGGAGAAAAGGCAAGAGGTATAATTATTCATAACTCCCATTAGGTGGCTTCCAACATATAGAGGCGATGGCAATGCTGAGTACACACACCAGATTAGCTTCATGACCAGCAATAATATTGTGTTCCAAACCATTACTAAAAAATACAACAAAACAAGAACCTTAGTGCAGGCCCTGTGGATGATTAAACATCACTGCAGGGAGCGCATACTGCAAGGAAGGTGCTACGTAGTGCAACTCTGAAAGCAAATAAATCAACATTGTGACCCGTGACTGTTAAACCAGTACAATGAATGTTTATAATGAATTTATTTTGACACACTCTGGTCAGATCTGTTTTTACCTCAACCTTTTGTGCCCCATGTTGGGCACCAAAAGGGACCCAGCCAGTAACCCAGCACCACACAGCCCTTTGCTCACCCCTCCCTCTGCCTTTCCCCACTGGATGGGATGGAGAGGAGAACTGAAAGAATGTAAACCCCACGGGTTGAGGTAAGAACATTTTAATAACTAAAGTACAATATTAAAATGATAAAGGAAATAACAAGGGGAGAGAGTATAAAACTAAAAAGGGGGGAAACAAAACAAAAACCAACCAACAAACTGCAGTGATGCACAATACAATTGCTCAGCACCCACTGACCAATACCCAGCCTGACCCAAGCAGCAATTGGTCCCTTCTGGGTAACTCCCCCCAGTTTATATACTGGGCATGATGTGCTGTGGTATGGAATACCCCTTTGGCTAGTTTGGGTCAGGTGTCCTGTATCTGCTTCCTCCTGGCTATCAGTGCCCCTCCTCACTGGCAGAGCATGAGATTGAAAAGTCCTTGACCAGGGTAAGTGCTACTGAGCAACAGCTAAAACACTGGTTTATCATCAGCATTGTTCTCAGACTGAAGCCAAAACACAGCTCTGCAGCAGCTACTAGGAAGAAAACTCTATCCCAGCCAAAACCAGGGCAGTACATAAAGTGGCTGCAAGTGGCTTAAATGGTTGTTCAGCACCAGTCTGCTGCAAGAAATTGTTCTTTCAGGTATTATACCATGGCTAAGTTATTTCCTTACAGTTGCCTTGGGACAGAAAAGGCATTTTCCAGTGCTGCTGTTCCCAGCATACTGGACTGCAGAAACATCTGGGGAAGCAGATCACTCTCCTAGTAATCTGCATATTGTGGTGTTGAGTTGCTTAAAGTTATGTCATTTGTAACTTAAGGACTGAAAGGTATAGTACAATATTAGTGTGGAACTTTTACTAGGTATCTTAGAATTTAACCAACTTCAGCTATACAAAAACATGCACAAAAAGCCTCTTTTTCCAGCGATTTGGAGAGCCCTCTTACTAAATGAAATGTAAAATCCATATACCATTTGTACATAAGTTAATAATTGTAGCTTTGTTTTGAAATATTACAGGTAGCCTAGGCTTTTGGTAAATCTTGTCCCTGTGGGCCTAGATGATATATAGAACCAGTTTTCACTCATCTCATCTCTCTGTCACAGATTTGAAGCTGAGAAGCTCAGAGAAGAAAATACCGTTCTGAAAAATGAAGTGACTTTATTGAATGAGGAGGGTAGTGCTTCCAGCCTGAAACTGAGGGAGCTAAATGGGTCCCGAGAAGAAATGCGGTAAGAATTCAGTGGGGCATGTACTGTATATATGCCTTAGGGCTCTTGCTGCAGTGCAGACATGGTGGTTACATTCCTTCTTTCAAAACTCCTACATGTGTTAGATATTCTATGAAATTTGAAATGGCCTTATTTCCTGCATTTATTGTGGCTTCTGTTAATGAGCTTTCATTTTTCCTTAGGCAAAAGATAGAAGCTGTGAGAAAGGAGAAAGTGGCTGTACAGAAGATGGTTGACAACCTGAAAAAGCAGGTATACAGGCTGAGCTCATAACCTTCTCTGTAGAAGTCATCACTGTATGAAAGCTGTTCCTTACACAGTCACAAAGGCAGTAGAAAATGACCATCATATACATTTAAACTCTGATAACTGTTCTCATTAACTCTTTGGGATTAATGTGAGGCTTGTTTGACTTGATTGGAAAACTGCAACACTACTGTAACTACCCATCAGACTTGAAAGCACTTTCCATAGTCAACTTGGAAAGAAAGTTTATTTAATAGAAATATAAAGTTAAAATCTTTCTTCTGCAGTTTCTGTGGGTAATGCTCTGCAGTAGCCCATGGGGAAATAGAGGTTACGTGGCTCAGACTCTACTTATTTCCTATCTGGCTGGGTCTAGGAATGCTGCCAGCCATGACCCTTTGCTTGTATCCATGAGACCGCTACTTCTCTTTTAAGGGTGGTTTGTTATGCTAGGCAAAATAGAAAGTTTAAATAGCTCTTACATTCACTCCCCTCTTCATATTGCTTAGTAAAATTCTACTTGCTCAGAATAATCTACTAGCTCACCAGCACAACCCTCAAAATATAGATCACATGGCAAAGGGAAGGAGGAACAGAGCGGTGAGCTAGGTAACTGCTATTACAACTGATGTAATTGAGGCCAGTTATGAGAAATGAAGTTTGTGAGGCTGACCATGCATGCAACAGGTCATCAGGAGGACTCCTACTCCTGAATATGATTCTACTTGGTTTGGCCTAAAACTCGGGCTTGAAGCAAGTTAAAGAGCTATAGAGAAATAAAGCAAATAGTGCTACTGGGCTCATGACTGTTTCATAGAGTACAGGTAACAGCTACGCCACACTGTTTAGAGTCAGCGCTGAGTTAGAGTGATGCTTGTCAGTGCTTTTAATCATCTCAGTGGAAAGGAAAGGTTTTTTTACAATCCCATCCCCAGTGTAAAAGCAATTATAACTGGCACTGCTGTCCCAATTCAGGTGGCAGATCTGAAGACCAGAAACCAGCAGCTGGACTCTGAAAATACAGAACTTAGCCAGAGGAACTCCAAAAATCAAGCAGATGTGCAGGATCTTAATCAACAGCTGGCAAGGGTGCTTAAGCAAAAGGAAAGAGAAGCGGGAAAATGTACCCTGGAAGAATGGGAAAAGGAGAGACTGGTACTAAAAGAGGAACTGGAAAACTCCAAAGTAAAGGTACAGGATTACACTGTCTCTAACAGTATGAAATAACTGAACTTCTAGGAGTGTGCAGGTGCTATGGAGTTAGCATCCCATTCCTGAGCTCTGCATGCTCTTTCAAAGCTGAACTTCCAAGTACTAGCTGCAAATGTACATGCATGTGGTAGTGGGGATGGAAGGAAAGCCTTGCAGCAGCCAATAGCAGGGAAGTAGAAGTGTTCAGGTTTGTCTTAAAAATGGAGCTTAGTGGTGCTAAAGATTTACTTGTATTTTCCAGCATGCTTGTTCTGTGCAGTACAGGAGCCATTCCAGCTCCAAGCATGTCACTGGCTGCAGCATCATCTGGTTAATTTTTGTTATTCTGCATGTCTCCTATGTTGAAATCTGAACTTTTACTTTTTGTAGTCTTCAAATATGGTGTCTTCTTTGGAGATGGAGCTGTCGAAAATGAAGGTTCAAGCTCGTATACTGGAGCAGGAGAACCACATTCTCAAGCAGGAACTCGAGAAGACAAAACAGGTATGGCATCACATTTGAGTGTCGTGAGAGAATGCTGGCTGCCTCTTAACGTGCCCTGCTCTCTTGTCAGAGTTGGAAAGAGTTAATTCTTTAAAGAAAAGTCATAACAGTAGGGCATTATAAATCCTCTTGAAACAGTCTCTGGGTACAATGCACAATTGTTCAGATAAGGTTGGTTTCACTTAGCCTTTGCCAAAACGTCTTCCAGAGTAGTGGATCTACAAAGACAGGCTTTGATAATGAAGGGAAAGATGTAAAGCTCTAATCAAGGAATAGACAGAGCTTTTCTAGTTTATGCAGATGGGATAGAACGCCATATTATATAGTCACAGAATGCTCTGGGTTGCAGGAGACCTTAAAGACCATCTAGTTCCAAACCCCCTGCCACAGGCAGGGACACCTTCCACTAGACCAGGTTGCTCAAAGCCCCATCCAACCTGATACTGTGTAGCTCAGTTTAAGGACTGGTCTCTTCCAGCACATCCTTTCAGAGAGAATTCCTATTGCTAAACCCATCTGGAGACTCTGACATCTCACAGCTTCTGATGATAATTTCCTGGAGAGCTTGGTTATCGCCTTTGTAAGCATGGTTCAATTGGCTGTAAATATATGCTAATAAACACAGATAATGAAGGCTACAAATGAGTTAGCTCTCTTGATTAGGGCTCCATAAAGTAATTCCCTTTACAGTGTAAAGTACTCATTTGATGTACCCAATGCTTAGAATAGATAATGGTCTTAAAAAGCAAAAGCAGATGAGACCTATTCAGTACAGAGTAGATTGCAGCTTGAGTATAATTAAAGACAGAAGATTGAGTGAGCAAAGACAGAACAGCACAGGAGAAAGTAGAGTGTTCATAGAATCATAGAACCACAGAATTGATTAGGGTTGGAAAGGACCTTAAGATCATCTAGTTCCAACCCCCCTGCCATGAGCAGGGATGCCTCACCCTAGACCATGTCGCTCAAGGCTCTCTCTGGTCTTGAACACTGCCAGGGATGGAGCATTTACGAGTTCTTTGGGCAACCTGTTCCAGTACTTCACTATCCTCACAGCAAAGAACTTCTTCCTTCTATCTAACCTGAACTTCCCCTGTTTAAGTTTAAACCCATTACCCCTTGTCCTGTCACTGCAATTCCTGATGAAGAGTCCCTCTCCAGCATCCGTTTAGGCCCCCTTCAGATACTGGAACGCTGCTATGAGGTCTCAGCTGGAGAATGGAATGAGGTGATACACTAAGGCACTGTGTCAAATGGGAAAAGCATCAGAAGTCAGCAGTACGGTATTTATTTTTTTTTTCCCTTTCATAAAAGAGGCAGAGAAGAACCAGCTCTAGTGCAAATCCCAGGAATCACAGGACAATTAGGAATCCTTAGCACTGCTGTTGCAGAAAGGATGCCTTGGATCATATGAAGGATACTCTCATGGTCATTCATACCGCATTGGAGTACCTTCCTCTCTTCCACTCTATCCAGAGCAGGATGCTTGGCCTGCAAGAGAGGACTGTGTAATGCTTGCATGCAAAATCTAAAACAGCACAGAAATGTAACTATGAGGGGTTTGTTTTCCACAGCTGCCCAGATATCCCGATCTCTCTGACCTTCAGAATGAAGTTTCGAGCTTAGTTACTAAAAATGAAAAGCTGCAGAAAGAAAAGGAAGCCCTGAGTGAGGAATTAAACAGATGTATTGATAAGGTAAGAAAGAACTGCAAATCCACATCACTACCTATGTGCTGTAATGGGCTGTTAAAATTCTTGTATCATTATCTGTCACCCTAACCTGTAAAACTACTTGGGATTGTTTTCTGTTCTATTTCCCTTCAAGCCAGATAAAGGCTTAATTGCCACTGCCTTGTTTTCGTTTGGTGTTTTGTCCCCTAGCTGGTCTTAAAGCTTAAATTCTGGAGTGCAGCTTTACTGTAATTTGATTATGTAGAGAATTCCAAACATTGCAAGGAACAAAGGCCTGGCTATACATATTGCAGCAGGACAAGGAAGACAGTGTTCTTGCACTGTTATTGCCACTCTTACATCTTGTAACTGAATTCGAGCAGTGTAGCTAGTATGCACACTGTAAATAATGATCCTGTTGTGTGGAGGTTCAAGGCTGGGAGCTGGGGGGTTTTTTGCTCTCATGCATTTTTGTTTGCATAGCTGTAAGTCCGTCTATCTTATCTCTCAAAGTCAAATTGAGTTAAAGCAAATCCTGAATGAGTCAGGCTTACCAATGTAATCTTATTTCAGGTAGCTAAAGCAAGCTGCTTAGAGAATGCAGTTGGCAGCTTGAAGCAGGAACAGAAGTCCTGGGAACAGCAGAGTCAGACACTGAAAACGCAGCTCACAGTTTCACAAGAAAAGGTATAAAAGTGTTGTAAAAGATGAGTGGTTTAGGGTCACTCAAAGACCATCAAAGGTATTAGCAACAATTTTAATATGATTTATAAAGGCATGACTTAGAAGGATTTGATGGCAAGGTTCACTCTATTACTTATTACATGGATGAAGCATATAGAGAAAAATAGAGGTAAAATCAAGCTAAAGATGATTGATACAGAGACTGAAGGCACAAAGGATAAGGGAGACTCTGCTGCTGAGTCATGAGGTTCAGACTGGACCCCCTTGCTTTCTAAACTTCTGACAGAGCTTACATGCATTTAGTCTCAGACTTAGTCAATGGTATTCATCTAAAGGGTTCCAAGTGTCATTAAGCAACAGTTTGCAGTTTTAAAATAAATTGCAAGATTTCTAACAACACTTGATTATTAAAGCTAATACACACACTTGCAATCAAGTACCTGAACCAACACACACATATATATTTACATACGTGTAAAGATATACACACATACATAAAGGATCCTGTTAAAAACTTCTTTCAGGTGCAGTGAAAATACTCACATAAGCTTTCTCAGCATTCCTCAACTGGCAAAGGGTTGAATATCAGTGAGCAGAAATAATGGCCCCGGTAAATGGTGGTCCTATTTTGTAAATTTGGGAGTTTACAAACGCTGAAAGGTGTCCCATTCAGAGGGAGATACATGGCTGCAGCCCACGGTCATCCAGGAGAGCTCAAAGGGTCTCTCTTTTAGGGCCTCTATTTGTAGGCTTGTAAGATGATTGGCTTTAGTCATCAGGGAATTTCCACCCTGGCCTCAATTCTGTGCCAGTTCCACCACTTGCACAACAGTTATGTTCCAGGTTGTCATGGAATGACTGATCATCCCAAAAGAGCTCCTGGTATGACTGGGAAAAGCCCAACCATCCCCATCTCTGTGTGCTGCTCCCTACCTTTGCTATGCAACCAGAGTTGTTGGTAAGCTCAGGGAGTGCCCAGCTGCCCAATTCTTTACATCTGTGCAAAGGCTGAATTCCTGGGAAAGCAGAGAGGTCCAGGGTGGGGGGGATGCACCACCACAAACAGGGGTTTTTGTTATAACCCCAGATCAAAAGCATTTTTATAATCTCTTGTACTGCTTTTTTCATTAAAAGTGGTCCTCTTCTAATGTGTGCAAAGATGTCATGCAACTAGGAATGGCTGCTTTGATGGGCTTTCAAAGCAATGTTCTTAAAGGGCAAGAGGAAACTTGTTAAATGCAGTGAGGGGCTTTTTTTCCCCAAGAATAAGCTATGTTGTTAAGCTATTCATTCTGCCCAGTTATTCCTAAAATACTGCAGAGGCTCTGCTGGTGCTCCCTGCTCTTATGGCAGTGGCTCGTTTCTCTCCAGGCAGAGGAGGTGAATGAATGGCTAGCTGCTTGGCCGATGACACTTGGGTTTTCTTGTTGGCCAGGGGCTGCCAGGAAGAATAAATAATTCAAGAGAAATATTCTCTTCCCAGCATATCACAGTAAATATTCGGGGCTGGAACAAGAATGTGTCTCTGAACGCAATACTGTGGCTGAATTCAAAGTAGATTGCTACTGATTGGGAACAATCAGAAAATCATCTGGCATTTTTAAAGAGGGCTGTCAGCATTGTAACTTCTTCATTCCTTTTCTTCTATCCTTCCATCAGAGACCCTAAATGTGTGTGACATGTGGTGCATACACATACAAGTAGACCAAGGTTACAAGAAATCTTGGTCCAACAAATGCTAACCTGCGTTCTTGCTTGTTACAGGTTCAGAGTCTAGATGAAACACTGCAAAATACAAACCTCCAAATGTCACGACTAAAATCAGACTTACGGGTGATGCAACAGGAGAAGGAAACTCTTAAACAAGAAGTGATGTCTTTACACAAGCAACTGCAAAATGCCAATGAAAAGGTAACAGACTTCAGGTGCCTCAAAGTCAGTCAACTTTGCATGTCAGAGTTACAGACACTGGCTGCTGCTTTTCTGTAGCCAACTTGGTTCTTTAGGATGGCTCATCCACTAAAAGAACACATAGTGCTGCAGGCTTGAGCAAGTAGACTGAGTTATGCAACTACTGATTTTTTTTTTTAATTATTTTTAACAAGTGATATAAAGCTAATAATTAAAAAAAAAAAAGCTGAAAGGAGATGGGTACAGAAAAGCTTTATTTTAATGTTGGTTTCTGTATTTTGTAGTTTTCCATTTCAAAATAGCTAACTATAATTATAGTTAACTATAATTAGTCTTGTTGGATTGTACATAACATGCAGATTTTAAACTTATTTTTAGAAAACTTATTTTAAGTTTTGAACATAAGGACAGGATGATCAGTCCATCTCCTGAGGCTGTGAATCTGTGAACAATGTACGAATTTACACCTATCAAAGCTATAACCATTGACAATCAAACTAGCAATTGACAGGGGGGTCTAATTTTCAGTCAAACTTGGTTTCAAAAGGCATGGTACTGTATAAGCCTCAACTGATGAGGAACTGTAACTAAAGCAGGTTGTAGACAGCAGTGTTGGGATTGGTATTATAAATTCAGTTAGTAATTTGTCTTGTTTGACATGTAATTAAGGAATATTTAATGTCCACATGGAAAAGAGGCTGTTTCAGAATTGTACAACAGGAACAAAATTACAGCTATTACTGAATAATATATAATACTGAGTTCTATTATGTGCTTGATAAGGCTGTGAAACGGAGCACAAATTGCTGTTTTGTGGTGTTGAACTCTGTGCACTCCTATCAGCTATTGTGGTGCAGAGCTATTAGCTATGATTTTAGCAATGGGAAGCACTTTGGGTTTGCACTGTGATTAGCGTATTGGGTTTCTTAGTGGAAAATGGTGTGTAGGCTGGGAGGAAGACTGGAATCCTGTGACTTTGGAGTCTGCAGTTACTGAAAGCCTACTTAAAAACCCACCTGAATAGAGAAAATGTCTGCTTCTTTGTTTAAGGCCTAACCCTGCAATTCTGTCTGTCTTAAGAATCGGGTTCTAGAACTGGCTGTGCCTTCCTCAGGGCTGCAGGACCAACAGGGGCAAATACACTGGGATGAGCTGGACCAGCTGACGAAACAGGAGCAGCAGCTGCTCAGGCAGGAGAATGAGAGGCTGCAGAGAGAAGTGCAGAGTGCTAAAACAGACCTGACTCACTCCAGGGAGAAGGTAACCAGAGCAAGCTGGCAGATCACAGGGGTGGTTTTTAGTGCTTCTTGTTTAGCAGTGGATAATACAGGAGGGGAATGTTGCTCATTAGCTTTGAATAGAAACATTTGCAGAAATAACGTGTAATGGAGTAGAGTTTCTTTATATCTGCACCAGATAAGCAGACATGCTTATGATGGTTTCAAACAGCTCTTTATTTAAAAGAAAATCCTGATAATTCCTGTCTAAGATTCTGGTCTGATTTCAGTTAAGGTCTTTCAATTTTTTTTCTTTATTAAAAAAAAATTCTTAACATTCCTGGCATTCTTGTGCATTTCTTGGCTCACAGTATTAGGCAGATTATGGGAAAGACGAAGGGAAAGAATGACGAGATGGTCAAAGCTAAAATGTCAAAATATCTGTTACAAGTCCAAAGTCCATTGGTACTCAGTGTTTTAGATGAAGTAGATGCAATTTGATTTTTGGAATGGTCTGGAACCATCTCTCGTCTCTTTAGATCCGACAATTGGAATCTACTATCCTTTCCCTAAAGCACCAAAAGCATCAAAGCCAGTTGGGGATCGTCAAAGCCATAGAGCAAGAGAAATTAAGCCTGAAGAGAGAGTGTGAACAGCTTCAGAAGGAGTTGTCATCTGCAAACAGGAAGGTTAGTTTTAGAGGGCAAATACATGACTCAGTGTAGTACTTTCCATCTCTTAAGAACTAATGTGGTAAGCAGTGAATTTTCTTCTTTTTCTCTGAGCTTTTAGCTTTCTGTCTTTTATGAATCCCTGTCCTGAGGAGCTGATTGTCTTCTGTGCTTCTGCAGAGCATGAAGCGTGGAAGTCCTGCCAATGTGCTGCAGGCCTTCTAGTTGGTTCTAACAGTTCAGTGGTGGAACATGAGAACCACAAACAAAGCATGGCCTGTTCCAAATGCTCCTCAATACATAGCACTTACTTACATTAGCACTTCTAGATTAAATCCTGCCTATTCTTTACAACTTGTCAAAGGTGCTGCATAACATTGTCTTAGGCATCACTTTGAGCAAAGCATTAGACTTGTCCAAATACTTACATCTTTTAATCTTGAATTGTCTTCAAGTGCAATGATTTGTGACATATATAGGATAAAATAAGGAACTACTACCTTTCTAAGGAATTTTCTTGTCTTTAACAGATCAGTCAGATGAATTCTCTTGAACGTGAACTGGAAACCAGCTCAGAAAATGAAGGGCTAAGGAAAAAGCAAGTGAAACTGGATGATCAGTTAATGGAGGTACTTGTCAGTCAGTGCTGGCTGTACTGAATAGTGTGGGGCTTTCTCAATATCTTCCTGAATCTATGAATTTATTTAAAAAACAACTTTCAGATGTGTAGGAAAAGTGAAAATGTAATAGAAACTAGAAGAATTAGTCTCTCCCAGTGCCTAATCTCATCCTTGTGATCAAGATGTTAGTGTGATAGACTGGATTCTTTGAAGCATGTTGTGGTTTATCATAATTCATGTAAGGCTTCAGATATACAATCAAATAGCAAAGAAATTTGTTGCGGTGCTTAAGGCACTTTCCTCTTCCTAAAATATCTCATCTCAAGTTTCCCAAGTAATATTTGTATAATGCTGCTCTTAATGTAGAAACCTGTTCTCACTACAGGAATAATTTGCTGAATTTAAGCCTTGCTACCTTATCTAGATAATGATAGGGTAACAATTTACCCAAATTGCCTTCATTACAGGAATGGGCAAGCTTAACTATGCTGTGCTAGTGTATCCCTTCAGGTTAGGCTAGACCTCCATGTTGCTGCTCAGCAATCTGGCCTAAACTTGAGGTCTTGAATTTGAGATTCAAACATAATATTAAAAAAAAAATACATTGCAATTTTGACTTGTTCCATAAATCAAAGCATCTTCTAGATGAGGATTTTACAACACTGTTTATTAAAAGACTTCATGTTTTTCATCAAGAGAGCAAATGGGAAACATATTATGCTGAATATAGTATGTAATTAGCTATAAAATTGTGAAAACTTTATTAGAAAAGATCATATTTTTTTACAAGTCACTGAAAAGACTGTTTATATGCCATCTGTTTTTATTTATACGGTCTTAATTGAGCTTTGGGAAAACTCCAAACACTGTTAAACTCTTCAGTATAAACACCAAGCATGGAATTGTGTTTTCTCCTAAAATTTGTATTTCAAACATGCAGGACTTTTGTTACTCCTGATAACATTTTACCAGCAGGTGTGTATAACATTCACTTAGCACTTTATGACTTCTAACTTTCTCTTTTGTGCCTGTTCTCCTTTTGTTTGTGGCTAACCTGTCTAGAACTCAGTGGTTGGAACTAGCAGAGAAGGGTGCAGTTCTCTTTCTGAAATAGTGTGCAAAGGTAGAGCAATCATTTTCAATGTACTACCACAGCATGGAGATAACATTTTTCTTTTATGGATTTTTTTTTTTTTATTTCTGTGCATCTCTTAAGTAAATAAGCCACTATTCATTTTCATAGAATGACAGAATGGTTTGGGTTGGAAGGGACCTTAAAGCTCATCTAGTTCCAACCCCCTGTTTGTGGGCAAGGATACCTTCCACCAGATCAGGTTGCTCAAAGCCCCATCAACCAATTTCAATGTAAAATTTTTACTTTGACAGCTGCCCTAACCTCTTTGTGGTTAGTATGTATCATGCAGATTGATTCTGTATGCCAAGAAGTTGCATACTTCTAAGGCATTGCCGTGAAAATGGAGAGAAGTGACCAATTGCATCCACAAGAATTAAACTCAGCATAAGAAAATGAAAAGTGGTTCAACTCCTTCCTTCTAACCCATTGACTGTGAGGCTTGAAGGTGTTTGCATATTTACTCTGAGATCTGCATGCTTTTTCACCACTGTCAAATGTTTCCTTAGTTAATTACTTATTAATTAATAATACTAACTGAAATGTGATCACACTTAGTGTCATCTCTAATAGTTTAGCAAGATTCTTACTGTTCCGCTTTCTTCCACAGAAGAATGCAGCAAGTCTGTATTGTTTTCATTACCCAAGTACATGGTATTTATTTTTAAGATGCTGTTAACATTGACTGTTTTTTCAGCTCTTCCATTAGATACTCATGTACATCACAGCATTACAGGGAAATCCTAAACAAATTCCGTCAAAATCTCATTATTTTCACTGTTTATGTTGTCAGTAAAAGAATAGCTCCTTTACAGACAAGTTGATTCAAAAGAACCTCCTTACAGCTTAAAAAAAAAAATACAAATAGTTCTATTTTAAAGTACTTTAACATATTTTCTGTTTACACGGGCCAGCAGAGATGTGCAGATGCAAACATGGCCAGAAGAGCTGTGTCATTATGAAAAATGCTTAGTTTTTTACATCACAGATGAGCTCAGTAACTGAAATATGTTATAAATTGAGGCCTTAATTCTACCACTTGTGAAAGTAAAATTCAGACCACTAACGTAGTTCTGTATGAATTTTCCTAAGGGAATAGAGTAATGGCTTTGAAATAACAGGTGAGAATTTTATGATGATGTCAACTGGGGACCTTTATGGGAAGAAAGTATTACTCTTATGCAAATTCAAGCTGCAAATCAGCTTGTCTGAAATATCAGGGGGATTTACTGTACAGCTCTGGTCTTTCCTTGCTATTATTATTAACTCTTACAATGTAAGCTAGTCTTACCTGAATTTCCCTTTAGTCTAGAAAAATGCTAAATTGTTTCACGTGACTATCTTAGCTCTTAATACTGTCTGAAAGATCATCTAATACTGGGACAGTTTATCTACCTTGGTCTCTCGTGGTTGCAATGCTACCATAGTAAGGCAACGTCAGAAATGCTTCTTCTCTAGCCATTTCCACCCAGTAACTGTCACAGCATTGCTTGGCAGCAGCACTTAATGAAATGATGTGGGGAAGCTAAAATGGGACAAGTCTGTTCTGAGCTGCTCTCTTTGCTGTAGCAAGGACTATTAACAGTCTGATCCTTCTGTCCCATGGGACATGCCTAGTTTTACCAACAAGAACTTTTTTGGTATTATAATTTTAACAACCACCATTACACACAAACTATTTGTTAGTATATGCTGCCTTTACATGACACAGATTTGCTGATGCATTTTGTAAGCTTTTTTCTTTAACATCAGATTATGCTGTGCATCCCTCTCTATCTCAAGGGCCCCTCTGAGTATACTTTTGCTTATGCAGAACATATATTCAGGTCTCCAGACTCAGTATCAAACCCTGCTTGTGGCATGTCTCAAAATGAAAATCATAAAATATGTTAACATTTCCACAGTTAGTAGTGAACATAAGGAAAGATACATCGGGTTCCAAATACTGAATTCTGAATAATATAACAGCTGGCATCAAATTACTTAAGTCATCATACATGACTGAAAATTCGTTTTGCTTTTGAGAATGTTCTCTCTCTATCCTGGATTAAAGATGAGAAATACTCAGCACTGGTGGACAGTTTCTTCAGCCTTCCTCATGCTAGTGCTTTTATTTGGAAGTGGATGCTATTTTCAGAAGAGCTGCTGAGATCAAGGGTAAAATTAAAAAAACACCAGTAAGTTAAAGCTCACCACAGGCACATTTAACTATGACAGGATTTCATCAGTAATTCAATGAATTTATAATTCAAGTCTGAAATCACAGAATCCTATAATCGTTTAGGTTGGAAGGGACCTAAGATCATCCAGTTCCAACCCCCCTGCCACAGGCAGGGACACCTTCCACTAGACCAGGTTGCTCAAAGCCCCATCCGACCTGGCCTTAAGTGTTTCCAGGGATGGGGCAGCCACAGCTTCTCTGGACAGCCTGTGCCAGGGCCTCACCACCCTTCTGGTAAAAAACTTCTTTCTAATATCTAACCTAAATCTACCTTCTTTCACTTTAAAACCATTCCCCTTTGTCCTATCATTACATTGTCTTCTAAAAAGTCCTTCCACAGCTTTCTTACAGGCCCCTTTAGGTACTGAAATTATAAATCAAAGCTCAGATTCCTTTAGATTTCAGAACTGCAGATAAGATGCATCTTTTTTTCACTGGAAAGAGAAAAGCTGCCTCTTTAGCTTCTGTTACTGAGTTCAGGCTTGTTTCTCTTTCATACAAGAAATTGTTCAAGAGTAACCAGATGTCTAGTGCATCACGAAAAGATATCTTGTATGAATGGCAGTGCTGCTTTCTCCTGATGGCTTATTTACTCTGCTCTTCAGATGCTTCACTCAAGCACCAGTGTGATACTTAGCCACTCACCGCACTCCCGGGAGCTCCAGCAGCAAGGCTGTGCTATGGTGCCCAAGGAACAGTTCCTGCAGCTCCAACACCAGCTACTACAAGCAGAGAGGAGGAGTCAACGTCTTCAGGAAGAACTTGAAAGTAGACCCTCTGAAACAAACATGCAACAGGTAAAGCTCTCATTACTCTGCAGGTTACAACTTTAAAAGGGTATCTGCTTAGTTTTCTGAATTTTTCAAATTCTGTTGAGATCCGTTCTCTGTTTATGCCAGTTCAAAAAATTAAAATGAAAATTCATTCTATCAAACATATGTACAAAACAACCCTTTGTTATTTAAGCATATTCAGCTTAAGCCATAGCTTAATTCTGAAGTCCTCTTAATCTTTTTGAGCTAAAAAACTCTCCCATCCACATACAACTGGCTTCTCTCTTTCTGGTTGATGTGCAGTAAGTGTTTATAGTTTGGGTTTTTTTGTTTTCTTTACTTTATGTCCATGTCTGGAACCATTGTTTTAGAAAATACACTATATCACATATTGCACAAGCGCATACTCATCGCACGTAAAATACTAGTTTGGGCTGTTGCTGTCACATGGAGTTCTGTCAGCTCTAGTAAAATAGAATTCAAACAAATTAATCCTTTTTATAAGGTCAGCTTATCTTCATTATTTGGCCATGAGAAAAGATGTTGTTGGGAGAACACTGCTTTTCCTCAGAAATGCCAATATGGAAGTTTCTGTATGATGGTAACAGTCTAATTCCAAGGAATTACTGTGGGTTTTCACATGTAAAACTGAATTATAGGCAATAAGTAGAACAATTTGTCTCTCCCACATAAAAATTAAGCTTGGGGACTAGGCTTACCAAATCATAGAATCACAGAATGGTTTGGGTTGGAAAGGACCTTAAAGACCATCCAGTTCCAACCCCCTGTCATGGGCAGGGAAACCTTCTACTAGACCAGGTTGCTCCAAGCCCCTGTGTCCAACCTGGCCTTGAACACTGCCAGGGATGGGGCAGCCACAGCTTCTCTGGGCACCCTGTGCCAGCACCTCAGCACCCTCACATGGAAGAACTTCTTCCTAATACCTAATCTAAATCTCCCTCTCAGTTTAAAACTGTTCCCTCTTGTCTAAATCTCTAAAGCTTTGGCTCAGGCTGTGGGTCTTAAATAGTATTACAACTTTATGAGAAAAGATAAAGCTCTAAATAGCTTAGATAAAATAGTAACACTTCTATTTTATCTCTTAACAGGAAAAAAAACCCACCAAACAGACAAACTTTACATTCTAAACTCAGATATCAATTATGCTTTTTAAAAAAATAAGACCATGACTTTGAAGCCTAAAAATATCTGAATGTGTTTATAGGATATTCTGGAAAAAAGGTATTATGGAGAGAGAGTATATACAGTTACAGTTTCTGAAGTTTCCAAAACTTGGAGTAAGAATTCTTTTTAAGAAAGGCATAAAATCAAAGTTTTTAAAAAAAGAACTTAACAGCAACTAATATAGGATAAGTAAATCAATTGTAAGGTTTTTTCCTTTGCAGCTGAGTCCTAATAGAAGTGCATTACCCCAGGTTAATGTGCTTGGTGCCAGACAGTGGCAAGTGTAGCCTACCATTTAGTTTTGAAATCAAGAAAAGCCATATTACAGCAGCAGGAGCAAATGAACATGCTGTGTATTGCATTAGGAGGGATGACTTTATCATTTTGCCTTTGAAAGCCTGAGAAACAATTTGCAAACTAATTACATCCTGGAACTTGCAGTTCTACCGATAAATCACTTCCACATTTCCTGTAACAGCTTTTATTCTGGAAAGCTGCTTGTATTTAAAAATACTTTCAGAGAGGCTTTGCAAATATTTGCTGTCAATGCACTAATGCACTTAATCCATTTAATTTTTTCCTATTGCGTTTTTTTTGTGCTTACAGTGAATCAATATTCCAGTTTATCACATCTCCTACAGCTTTTTTTTCATGGGCTTTACTAGATAATTTTCTAAAATCACTATTAAACACATGCATTCTACAACTGTAAACAAGGCCAAATTTGTTTTAGTTTGTGTCAACTTCGACATTTCTGTAAGCACATCTTGCTTTAATTCTCACTGTTAATTTTTCTGCATCATCCTGATGTTCAGGGTTAGCATTTAGTTGAGCTTATGTCCATTTTAATGTCCCCTTTAGCATCTTGAAAAATTGCATCCTAGTCCCTCTTCATCACCTTTTTGCCAGTGAGTACAATGTCAGGTTATCTCCATACTTTCTGTGTAATTTTAATCACCTAGTTTTGCTGCTGCTGCTTTGCACTCTGCAGCTTTCTTAGATCCTGAGTCCTTCTTTGTAATAAGGTATTCAAAGTTATCCCCCTCCGCTTTGGAATTCTTGTGTTCATCATGCTTTGAAATTTTCATTGCTTTTTTGATCATGGCTATGGTGGGCTGTGTTTTTATTCATTTTACAGTCAGTCTGGAGCTATTGTCCTCCAAAGCTACTGTCATAAGTTCAGATTTCACTAAATTAAAACTCCTGAGCCTTTTCTGCTCTGCTTACCTGTGTGGACTCTTCCGAATTCCCAGTGACTGTTTCTGCTGTGTCTAGTGCTGTGATTCTTACCTGCTGCACAGTAACAATGCGCTTGTTCTCATATTCCTTGCTCAGCAACTAGATTTGGGAGCCTGTTAATGACCCAATCTTTCCTTAATTCCTCTTAGAACCTCTGCTAACCTCTATTTTTGTTCAAAGTACTTAGAGTTGCTCAACTTCCCCTTTCTTCAGCTCCATTTCAAAATTCAAATCACCTCTGACCAACTGCTTGTTCTCCTGTCTTAGGAAAAGACTTACTACTAGGTTTAAAATACAAATGCAAATAAGTTTTCAAAGGCGGTCAGTTGGACTGTTCTTTTCAGATATGTTATTTGGCAATCTGAGGTTTTATATATACATATATAGAGAGAGGCAGATAATTTCTGCTAAGAAACAACTACTAATTGCAGTTAATCAATGCCACTGATGTTTTTAAATCCCTCAAAACCATGATGAGCCATCTGCAGAGTCCTTACATTTAGAAAATGCATCCTGAATATCTCCTCAATTGCATATGTGTAGTGCTAATACTTAGAGAAATATAATATGTAATACTCTGCATATTTTCTTTTGTGTGTGTGGTTTTTGTCTTGTGTTGCTTGCTTCGCTTGTATTGGTGGTTTGCTTTAAGTATACGTAAGTATTTAAAAGAAAATGTGGATATCAGGGTGAAGTATCCCACTTGCCTTCTTTCTCTAGGCCTTGCTACCGGAGCAGCGAGCAGTGCATGCAGATTCCTACCGGAGGATTGGGCACCTCTGACAGCTTGGCTGCTTATGATCTCATTCCTTACCATGATAAACACACACAAACACACGAACTGGCATAAGCTGAGAAACTTGAGGATCAAATTATTTTGTACTTTTTCTAAAAAAAGAAAAAAAAAAGAAAGTCTCCACAGTGTTATTTCCTATTTATTTGTCTAGAAGCTATTTTGTGCAAGTTCATAATTAATTTGTTGCAAATACTTCTTATTTATGTTATTTAAAATATGGGGTTGCTCAGTGTGGAAAGAGACTATTTTTTCTCAAATGGAACTAATTTTATATGAGATCTGAAGAAAACCTGAGGTGTTTATACTGCATTTTTGTATAAGATGTATAAACTTTTTAACAGGGAAAGATGACATTTTTTGATGTAAATGAAAAATAAAATTTTTTAAACATAATGTCTCTTGTGTTAATAGTATCAATAGTTTCGGCTTGGTTAACAAGATTTAACAAATTTTAGACAAGATATTTGTCTTTGATACTGAGGATTGTCATATCAGGACTTCTGGAAAAGATTTGTAATAGGGATGTACTTAAAAGAAAAGAATTTGCAATAGTACATGGGCATATTCTGCTACTGTGGCCATAAAGTAAACACGCAGTGCCAGAAAAGGAAAAATTAACACACTTGTATCTTGGACAACGTTCCTTACTCTTTGTCTCAAATTACTAAATTAAACTAGATTTTTAATTCTTTAATAGGTTAGCAAAACACTTCCTTAAGGCCTATGATTTTTTCCTAGTTGGGAGCCTTTAACCATTTCAGCTGTTTATTTTCAAAGATCTTTTTGCTCCTAACTTTCTAATGACCTTAGAGCTAACACTGCAGCTGGCTTCTCTCATTAAACATGAACTAATATGAAGTTAGAACATTCTCAAAACAACTTTAAGGCAAATAAACCCAAACAGGTATCACAGGTGTTGAGACCACTATAAATTCTTAGTTTCCACTTGACTACTCACTCAAGACTCTTGCAACTCATATGAATTTGTAATATTCAGCTATGGTTTTGAATTCCAATCAAATTATGAGCAATAGCTGAAGATAACTTGGCTAGAAAGTCCCCTGCAATTTCTGCTTAGTAATGCTTTTTTAATCCAGGTAAATATCCAGTCCAGCAACACTGTAAAACTACTTTCTGTAGGATTCCCAACATTTTTAATTTTTCACAAGCTAAATAGTCATATAGCCCCTTATTTAGAGTTAAGGAGTTTCTGGTGTTACCACAAATAAAATGTTGAGTGGACTTCAGTCAATCCCCTAAGAGGATCTTTCTGCAGTGGTTTAGATGAGCAACTACCTCCCTGAAACTTCCCTCAGTTTTTCATTTATCTTCCCAAACATGTGTGAAGGTGCTTTGGTTTTGATGGTATTTCCTTTCGGGGAGGTTAGTGCTCTCTCAAAGTTAATCTTCTCAGGTGACTTCCTAGAATTAGAGTAACACGGTAGCATTAAAATAAAGAATCCCTTTCCTGGCTCTCAGTGTCTCAAGTTTCCAGATAGAGCCAACCTTTCTTGTAGTTCCTGGTGTTTCTGTTTTATTTGGGAAAATGTCATTCAAATGTTGGTGTCATGGGCACTCTAGTAAGTTACTAGACTGTTACATCACTGAAGAAAAAGAGGAAAACCATTTTAGAGTTAGTTTGGTAAACACTGGTTATGAACAACTAATCTTAAAAAAATAATCAGGTTTGAGTAATAGCATCCTACTTTTTTAGGATATTACTTCATTTCAAAGGGTATTTGGTGTGGGAGGGTTGTACAGTCAGACTTGCCCTTATGCCTTCACCTTAATTTTTTCCAAAATCATTAAGATTTAGATTGGCATTTTGTTTTCCCCATTCAACAGAAATATTGCAGCACATACGAACAAGAAAAGGCAACTGCCCAGATCTGACTATCAGTTAAGACAGAACTTAAATTTTGTATCGATATTTCTTAGATCTGGTAATCACAAGTGTAACTTAGAAAATTTGTTTAATGCTGCAAGTGTCCTTTCAATGTTGCCATAATAATTTGCTTCCATAAATAGTTTATTCATTTATCCTACTCTCTAAAATAGATTCAAAAGTGGAGCACCAGCTATTTTCTTAAGCATAAACTGGGGGAAAAAAAGTAAAAAGAGGAGACTGGTGAATGTGAACTGAGTTTTGTTAACTGATTCTCACGTAAATGTTGCTTTTCAGGGGGGTCATGAGCAGCTTCTAAAAATGATGGAAGAACGCATGATGGATGTTGAACAGAAACTAAGGCTTGTGAAGAGGCTTCTCCAAGATAAAGTAAATCAGCTGAAAGAACAAGTAGGTGGTTTTACTCTCTTCCTCAAATTGTCCCCATTACTTCTGTAAATAACTAAGTGGGCACAAGCACAAGTCATTCGTGCTTAGAATAAATTTAAAGCTGCTTTCGTTTTTGCTTAATGCTTATGAGCATTAAAGTACAGCCTATTTGTCTAAAACTTCCTAGAACTCCAAATTGGGCACTGAATCCACCACTCATCTATTTCCTAAAAGCTATGTTTCTCTGATATGCTGATGCACTTAAAGTCAGGAAACAAATGTCAAATTCCAGACAAGTACCTTAACTGGAAAAGTTGCTTATAAAAGAAGGTCAATGAATTTCCTGATGAGTACTGACAGGATTACTGTACTATACAGGATTACATGATTTCTCAATGCCTCTTGCTCCAACACACCTTTTGCTTGCCATGATTTTGGGGTTTTTGTTCTTGCCCTGGTCTGCCTTCATCAGAAGTCCTCAATAGTGTAGGAAAAGGTGGCTTTTGAACACTTAGGCATTACACGATAACAGCATCTGCTTTCTAGTGAGGTACAGTCTCCTCTTTCACATTTAAGGAAGTGCTACACTAGCAGGGTCTCCTGCCAAAGACCCTTCTCAAAAGCACATAGACAAGGAGGAAGTGTATCTGTGGGATCACTGGTCTTGTGGATCTGCTTGGGAACTAGACTTAGACTTAGAGGACAAATGCTATAAGGCAGTACTCATCTGACAAGATTCATCTGAAGTCCTCTATCATCTGCCTGATCTCCTTACAAAGTCTTTCCAGTTTCAGAATATTTGTAGTATCTCTAAAGACTCCACAAACATACGGGTTTTTTACAAAGTAAAACAAGATGAACAGGGGAAGGTGTCTTCCTTTGGAGTTTCCAGAAACATATTCACTTATTTCCCCAGCATTGTTCTTGCTTTTAATTTATGTTTATTTTCCTTTTAATTTGCTGAGTAATTCTGTTCTGTTCACAATCCAGCTTTCCAAGAACACTAAAGCAGATGCAATGGTCAAGGATCTCTATGTTGAGAATGCACAACTGCTGAAGGCTTTGGAGATGACAGAGCAGCGGCAGAGAACTGCTGAAAAGAAAAACTATTTACTAGAAGAAAAAATTGCCAACCTCAATAGAATAGTAAAGAACTTGGCATCCCCATCATTTAATTCATCATCTGAGATAAGGTCATAACAAAGCCGTGCAGTATGCCACAGTCCTGTGCACTTTACTAAAATCTTCATTTTTTTTTTAGCTTTTCACTGTGTTGCCTTTTTGTATGGGTGTATTTTAGTTAACAGATACCTCCAAGAAGAGGACAGAGCTAAATCCCAAACCAGACACTGCCAAAAGAGAACTTTTGTTTATTCCCAAACTGTTTTTCTGCTAAGTTTTGTCCAAAAGTAATTTTTGCTATGTGGAAAAAAAAAAAAAGACATGTTTTTTTTAGGCTAACTTATTTTGATGCTTCGTTTTTAATTTAAAGTATAAATTCTGAATTTACTGTACTGAATCAATTATTCCTATCTAGATTGAAGCCAAGGTCAAATGCAAACTTGCATTACTGAATTCACATCTTTAAAATATTTTTGGCTTTCTAGAATATTTCATGCTCCAAAGCCAATAATATTGATAGGTCAGTCTTCAACACTGTCAAAATAACTTTGAGTTGAAAGCAAGACTTTCCTGATATGGGTTGTGTCCTGCAAACTGATTCTGGTTTCTGTAAAGCAGTATGTTCCACTTGATGCATTAGGCTTCTGGACTATTCCTCATGGCTCTTTCTCTGCAGAGCTCAGAAAAAAAAAGTTTTCTTTAAAATATGTAAACAGACTACTGCCTCCAACTGAGTCTAACAGTGCTTCATCTGAAGAATTTTCCCAGCTGGCAACTGAAGACTGCTACTCTTTTTTTATAATTATTTTAAGCTGTGCTGCCAGACAACTTAAAAATTGTACAGGCCTTAATTTTTTTTTGCTTGTGGAGATAAGTTACTAAAGAAAGGAAGAGTCACTAAGCTGAAGATGTGAGTTTTGCTTATATAATTTGTAAATTCAGTAAAGCAGCAGAGCACGTTTATTAAAGAACTGGAAGAAGAATGAAGAGGGGGATTTGAATAATTTCATTGGTGAAATCCATCATTAGGCCTCACAGATGTGGACCTTTGCCATTAATGCGGTGTTGCAGTCTGAGTGGTAATTTGGAAAGGCCTGTCTTTTGCAGTAGGTCCTAGTATAGAATCCAAGTATGTAATTAATTGTGAGGAAACATATTCAATGTGACTATGAAGAACTCAGGGAATAACAGCCTAAATTAGCTTCCTTCGACATTATAAATGCGGATATTAATGTCAATAGGTGAAGAGAAGTATGCATCATGAAAGGCAGGACAAAACAAATTATATTTGGATGAGTATTACCTTAGTAGTCCTAGACTAATGTGCAGAAGTTCTGTGGCCATGAAGGCTGCAGAGCATCAAGGTCTGTAATGACAGGTCATATGTCCTATTTGATCAGCCCATGAGGCTGGGGAGATGCAAGTTTTCTGGGAACATCTTCAAGACTGAGAGGGGTCTGAATTGCAAGCAGCTGAATAAGAACTTGCATGCACAAATGTAACCTCCTACCGCAAATAGTCTGAACACCCTACAACTGCCTTGCCTCCATCAGACCAGTAAGACATTTAAACAATGTAAATAAAACTAGTGAAAGGGGCCATACCGGCAATGCTTCAGGTGGGACCTCTTCATATATATGTGAATTGAGAATACAGAGAGGAGCATAAGATAGTTTGTCCCTGAGACCACTAGTGAGGTGACAGTTCTGACTGCACTTGAAAGGAGCCAAAAGACCCACAGAAACAGGGATATTACTGCCTACAAGCTGTGGAGTAACCTCGCAAATGACTTCTGCTCAGTACTGATCAGCATGTGGCTGTAGGGGATGCTCCCTATGTCCAGTGGTTCTTTCCAGTTTGGAGGGTTGAGGGACTGAACTAGACACACAAGGTGATGACCGCCTCCTCCTCCTCCCTTCCTTTCTGCAGGGAATATAGTGGAAATGGAAATACAATCATGTAAATAGAACACACTGGAGTATCACAAAGTCTTTATAAATTATTTCAGTGCTATGCTATTCAAAAGGCTTTTAGTGGGTATTTCTCCAAGAAATCTCAAATTCAGGGATTTACATATCCCACTTCTCAGAGGCTGCAAAGAATTTTTCGCTGTGTGTCAGCAATACAGTAACTGAGCACACTCTAAAACCATGCCTATGCTAGGAAAATTAGCAAAATTTCAAAATACTTCCAGGAAACAATCTTAAGCAGGTTTAGGTGATCAGAACTGTATTTGGAAAAAATATTACTAGCTAGCACATTTTAACACTACTTCGTATCTTGACCTGTGTAACCTTCAAACACTTAGTCTGTGACCAGTGTCTGAATGCCAATGAGAAGGAACGGGTACTTCACTTAAGCTATTGTGCAATTAATTTCACATTACTCAATTTTAAAGGCTAGACTACTAAACTAATTCTTTTAATCTCCTGGTAGTTACCAGGCTTTTCTAAACCAAACATACAGACATTTCTAGAGCACAGTACCAAAAAGGGAGCTGGGATGTTGGAATAGAAGGGAAAAATGGAGTAAAGGGACTTTGACTCCTCCCTTTCTCACCTAACTTGCTCTAATTTTCTTTCACTAAGCTTCTAAAAAGTAACCACAGGAGAGAGGAGGAGGAGGAAAATGTTTGGTAAATATTTCTTAGACGAAACATCAATTTCACTGGAATACTTGTGTGAGTTAATCCTCAGAAGTGCCTTTTGTAATTACATATTCTAGAGCCTTTCTGTACTGTACTGGTTTTGTGGCTACGGGATAATTCAGGATAATCCCTTCCCAAAAGAAGGGAGCACAGAGAAGTGCTGCTTACGAACGAGCATCATGTTGCTTCTTGGTTCATTGTGTCAGTTCAGAAGACAAGCAGCTAGTTTATAAAGTCCACACTACTGAAAATAAGCATAGAAACACGTAATTTATTAAGCATTAGTGGTCTTTTGTGCATGAATGTGTCTCCTATGCAGTATAGGCTTTTTAAAGATACCAAAGTATTTATTGGTATTGTACCAGTCAAAACTCGCTGTAGGCCTCATTCATTACAACAGGTCTTGTCAATTAAGATATTAACTACTTTGTCACCAGAAGCTGTTTTAAATGTTTTCAACTCTTGCTTTATGAATCACTGTGAAAATAAAGGCACATGGATATCTCGGGTTGGGAGTTTGGGAAGAGGAGAGACCCCACGTTAAATTTATGTGTACTAAATTCACACAGTTGAAGTGCTACTTGTCAATTTAGAATTATTTGAAAGTATACACTGTCACACATTCTCTAATTACTACTTTAAATATAAGGAAAATTGAGTTCTTTGAATTCTGATTGGAGAAAAAGGAAAAAAAAAGGAGTCTACTGTGTTTTAACTTAGCCAGATTATGTGGAAGGTAGAGCAAGGAACAGTATGTCTCTAAAGAGAAATCATCCTTTTGTTTACTTTCAGCAAATGCTATCACTGTCTCTCAGGTTTTCCATCATTTACCTGTTAAGTCTCCTGTTTGGTGTCAGGTGCTGTCATTTCATGACAAATGACTTCTCTGTAAATGAAAACAATTGTGTATTATTTTTTTTTCTATTGAGTTTTTTGTTCTGGTGTAATATATTGTCCTTGCAACATCAGGTAAAATTGAAAGATGAACCAACTTACACATTATTTATAATGAATGTATTATAT